GGGCAAAAGAAATTCATTTTAACATCTAAAAGCTTAGCAAAATAATTTAAATGCAATATATGATAAAGTTTTTCAATGATTTAACAGTAATATTAACTAAGGAATGAATGTTATTATCACTTATCATATCTTTAATTTAGGTAGAAATTTAAATGTAAGTGATCATGTTAAATTCTCCCTATCCTTGATTAAATAATCGACACTCCTTATACAAACAATGCATGATTTCTTTACTGAATCCAGGGGAGATATGAATATCCCATTGATTTTCTTAATATATAAACCCTGTACATACCTAATAAGAAACATACTTATTACAATTATTATGAAACAATATCCTTCTGCAATGTACCACTGCTTCACATGATATTTAACTTATTTCAGTAGAAGTATAACCAAAGCTAACTTAACCTATATGCTATAACAGACATGTATAATATTTTGTTGAAGGTGTTCAGATATTGGATGAAACTGATGACATGTGAAGGTCATCCAACGAAAGATAATAGTTAAAATCAGCCAAAGACGTTAACAAGATACAACCAGTCTCAAGTAGCCAACACCCAACAGCCATTCAACATATAACATAACCTGTCTGGAGCAGCCACCAATCAATGGTGGTCAAACATATAAGATAACCTGTCTGGAGCAGCCATCACTCAACAGAGGTCTAACATAAAGGATAACTTGTCTCTAGCAGCCAGCAATCGACAGAAGGCCAACATAGGAGATAACCTGTCAAGCACCCACCACTCAACAGAAGGCCAACATAGAAGATAACCTGTCAAGCACCCACCACTCAACAGAAGGCCAACATAGAAGATAACCTGTCAAGCACCCACCACTCAACAAAAGGCCAACATAGGAGATAACCTGTATCAAGCAGCCACCTCCCTAAAGAAACCATACCTCTATAATTAGGAGACTCAAATGATTCCTATTTGAAAGAATGCAGAAATGTGGTCAATGCCATAATGTCCAGTCTTTGTGTTCACCTTAGCATATTTTTGTGGTTTTTACCAACACTGATGTAGGTAAATAAAATTCTGTCACATTCGAGTATTAATTATAAAGGAAAAGAATTAATTTGTTCTACCCCAGCACCTTAAGTCATACGTACCCTGATGCTGGACACATTGGGACTAAGCCTTCAGTATACCTATGCTTCATGAAGTGCAAAAGCATCATAGTCAGTTTCCAGAGTCAAATACTGTACATATCCCCAGAAACAAGCTCCTTGCTTCAATTTTGCAAAATTATCAATTTTATTTAGTAAGCTTAAAGTGACCCCAAACTTTAATAGCAAACTTTTCACTAGGGGAGGGGTCTATCTAAGTATAAAGACAGTATTCTTCAATCAGCCTGTCTACCTAGGAAACCTATTTATAATTAATATGAACAGAAACAATTACATACACATATGTGAATTATTAATTATTCTAGTTGTCATAAGAACAGATTTCCTACTGGCTAAAATTGTGGGTAAATCTACATACCTGTCAGCACAGATTATGGACTATTGCCGGGTAAAACCTCACACATATATACTCCCAACAACACAATATACAACAGGAGATCAGAGATAATCCATGAAGGCACAAAAGGCGTAGACGGTTGTAATTATCCTCTTTCCTTCAGATCAGTGTAGCGAGTCCAGAGTGTATTGGGTCGTTTATGATTAAGTTATAGGAGTACCTGTGACATTCCAGAGTATAACGAGCTCATGGAACCTAGGTCACTCCCTTTAAAAGGTCAATGACGAGGAACAAACTAAAACCAATGTTTACCAGTTCTAAAAGTGTCCACACACAAAACATGTGACCTGAAACCAGTCTAGTTGTCTTTTTAATTTTTCCACATTTTAAAGTTTACCATTCTTAAACAGGGATAACGCTGACAGAGTGAGGCTTAAAAACGGTGCTGATATGTAAATATTGAAAGACAAGTAATGGAACAATGTTTGAACTAAATATAATGAAATTTTAAACCTGTTGTGTGTGGAAAAGCTTAAAATTAAAATAGCTTGGCACTCCTATGACTTCTAAACATTACAATGATTTCAGTATGTGGTCTGAATTTTTTTCTGAACCTTTTCAGGTAGAATTTCAATAACAATGCAGACTTGGTGCAGTGCTGAAGTGACGACAAAGAATGGCAATTGTTTAATATTACAATGCAAAACTTAAAGATTTTTTTTTTGTCATTTGCCGTCCAAACTTTATAATATAATAGATGTTACAATATATATCATGTTTGAATACTGAAGTAATTTCCGTGTTGATATTAGATATTGGTAAGATTATATGCAGGGCTGTCAATACATTCTCTTCGCTAACATCACATATTCAACAGTACCAGTGACAGACAAATCAATACTTTGTCCACCATCAGATGTTAGTACTGTCATAGATAATACTCTTCTCATCACAATTTTTTCATATCCATAACCAAAATACAAGCCTAATTACCCAAAATGTGTTGTATGTTTTGAACCTAAATTATGATACAGTACGTAGTCAGAGCTGTAATGAGGAAAACCGACACCTTCAAAGCCACAAAATGGTAAACATCAACAACTTACCTGAAGGTCTCACCTGTGTTGGGTTGTACTATTACAGCTGGGCAGGTTTTCCACAGGTGAAAATGTACAATCAATTATGTACAATACCAGCAATCCAACCACGTAGTTACGATGTCGGGTACTCGAGGCTATGAAACATCCGTACAATACCTGGAGAAATAAAGATCAGCCCAATTCACCAGTTACGCATTGTTACACGTTGTAATTGTCAGTCCAGACCAACTGCTAGTTTAATTGTATAAGGTAAAGCCTTCAATGTCTACATTTCATACAATACATACTAATGGTATGTAGTAGTGACGGGTCATTTACTCAAACCAAGTTAAGCTTCTTAATATTTTAAAAATCTTTTAAGCTTAAGCACAATGTTACTATAAATATTTTCAAATGTCTCGTAATTTGCAAGTAAAAGAGCATATCTTTAGAAAATATAATAATCGTTATTACAAGTTAAAATCAATTTGGAAACAATTACTGAAAACTTACCTCATGAAAATGATAAGTCAACAAAACTTTGTTAAAACTGGGAAGAGCTAATGACATGTACGTAGACAAATGTAATACATAAGGAGCATGTTAGTAACCAGCAAGTGCTTGCAGCATGTCCTTATTCTGCATAAGGGAGAAAATTTTGCGTAAATATCTTTTGTCAGTTTGATCTTCAAATACTTACGATCTAAACATAAATATTTTCAAACATTGAATTGAAATATATTAAATATGAAAATTTTAAGTATCACTGCCAGCAAGGTAAACAATACAACTTTCCACTGGCCATGGTTTACATTTGAAACAAAAGGCGTAATCACTACAGAGAGAATTTGTACTTCAATTAAGCGGTTGATTGATAATCAAAGTTCTAAAGAAAAAAATTTGAATGCTTCAGCTAGTCAGGAATTAAATCTCAAGGAATTTTTAATTTTCAGCATGGAAAAAAAATAAGCATCGATAATTATCTCTCGTTTTCTGACTTTATCAAAAAGTACAAACATGACAAGAAACATTTTGCAAAAACTTGAGTTTGAAGCTGTAGATGTTCTGGAGACATCCTACCCAGGTATATCTCCAAGGTTATCCATTGAACAGGTTGGGAAAAATCACAAATTTGCATATAATATGCAAACTGGCTTATAACACACCAATTAGGATGGATTTGTTACTAAAAGTAGCTGAAATTACCTAAAACTAAAGATTTTTCAATGCTTTTGTCAAAATCGCATTTATTTAGCCAATTGCAAAAATAAAATTGATTTGCGCATGGGAAAGTACCAAAAACGAATGCAGTACTTCTGGCCTATGTCATGACAGTACAGTTACTATGACAGCGACTGTTACATCAAGTTTCTAGGTAGCCAGAAATTTTAACAAACATTTTTAAATTACTTTGTCATAAATTCATGCAACTTTTGATGATACACTGTATATTTTACCATTTAAACAAATTTGGCAAATTTTCTTAACAAATCAATACCCCAAATTGCTTATAATTGACCAGTTTGCATAATATATGCAAATTCGCAGTTTTCCCCGTCCTGTTGAATAACACTCCATATAATCATCGTATCTTCAATTGTGTCAGACAAGTAAAAGTTATGTAGCTGAATGCATTTTTCCATTCTTTATATTGAAACCAAATGTTTCAGCCCTCTAAAAACAAAGAAATAATCCTTAGTAACATGAATGTACTCGTTTTTCATGCTTAGCAATAGTAGCGCATGTGAATATTGAACCGAAATTATATGTGTACAGATGCATCCCTTTCAATAATTGGTATGATATAATGTGTTTCAAATAAAACATTACCTTTTACAGCTTTTAGGGCCGATAATGGGCCACATTATTGATTCAAATTATTTCACATAGTCCAAATTCCAAAAAATTGCAATTAACTCCTGAAAATTTTCCTTAACAATTCATCCCTCATTCCCCCCCCCCCCCCCCCCCCCCCCCAAAAAAAAAAAAAAAAAAAAACAGAAAAAGGAAAAGAGGAAAAAAATCCCCAACCAGTGAGGCAAAAGACCTGAAAAGGACCTATTCCTAATGCTCTACTTTCACCGAAAACAATTTAAGACGAAACGTTTGAAGGGAAAAATTTCAAGCGGGGGTTAAATATGCAATTTTAAATTGGTCGAAAGTGTATTAGTTCTAATAAAGTGTTATTCACTCTAAAGGTTTAGTCTCGTAACGAAAAATAATCTGCTCTCCCTCTTACCTCTTGTTGACTTACCACTTGTTAACTTACCTGTTTCTCGTGCAAAGATTCCCGCGCTTTAATCGAAAATCTAGCATTGACATGAAGATAAATTTAGAGGCTTCCCGAAATCAGTGTAATCTGCATCTTGAGAAGGCTTTTAATGCACGAGTAATGATGATCAAAGCTTTTCCGTGATTTTAGTGATTTCATTTTCACATGACTTCTGCCTCTCTGGGCATATACATGTATGTAACGCCTGTTGAAGATATTTACAAGACATGGAAGAAGAAGTAGACAACAATCAGAAAGAGAAAGAGGAATCAACGGGTTATAGCAAATATGGAATCGTAGATATCCCCAAAACATCGATCGCTACGTCGTGGGGCCAGGTAACATAATTCAGTTTGCTACTACATAATGTTTACTTTCGATTCGTTTCCGGATAAAATTATGAAGCGATTTTTTCTCTTATATATGCAAAATAGCGTTCAGTCAATGACTTTTAATTTTTGCTCGAAGAATTGAAGGAAAAGCGAGAATTTTGTCAAATGAAATTGTATTTTTAATGATAGCGTATACTATGGAAATGCATAGTCTAAAAAGGACGTATGTTTATTATTACCAAAACAGATCTGTAGTAATCAAAATGAATTAACAAGGCATAGATACAGTTTAATTTGACAATTTTAATTGCAATGTAAAAACTAAACTGTACAATGTGAAAGTAGAGGGTTGATGTGGCATAAATTTGTCAAAGCAGGTTTCTTAAACTCAGATTGGACATTGATTGCCGAGCTGGAGATTCAGGCTCAGTGTCTGTTGGGTCTGTAATCAGCTGTATTCTCCCAGTTTTTCACATTGCCGCCCAATAGCATTCCAGATATGGATTGATTAAGAAATCTTAAGAAAAATTGGAACCTAGGTAATTAGTGTAAAAGGACTTTTGACTAGTACATACAATATTTTTTAATGTACTGTACCTGTAGATTTGACAGGGCTCTCACACCCCATTTTGGGACTGGGGCCTTGGGCCCTTAGAATTGGGGAAAAAATGGTGTTTTCCTTAGAATTTGGAAAACTTCAGGTCTAAATTGGGAAGAAAAGATACTATTTTGCATTATGAATAGGGCCGAATATCGACCCCAAATCTGGCAGATCGAGAGCCCTGTTTGATATAATTGTCTGTCCCTTAACTTTTTTGGCTTGATTGGTAACAGATCTGGTAACAGATATTTATAACGCAGTAAATCAGTGGCTTACTTTGATATCCAATGCAGGTTTTTCCTACATTACATCTACGTAATCAGATTTTTCTAACTTATATATATTAGTTTTGTTAAAGCTCAGTTTTGACAAAAGAGACAAAGAAAGTGCATTAGTGTCCATCCTTCCTCTGTGGTGTTTCCTTTCAGGATCATAAAATCTCTCTAGGTGTTTATTCAAAATCAAATAATTATTATTTTGATATTTTAACTCAATCAGCAATAAGATTTTTAATTATTATATGTTTAATTTATTTAAAAGTTTATTTCATTGAATTTTCTTTTCCAGACTAAGACATTTGCTGGATTAAGTCGTACGGAGCTGACCTTTCTCCTTGTTACCACAGTTAACATATTGACAGCGATCGGATTGACATTGTACAGTTTCATCACCGTCATCAAAAATGACCCAGAGGTTCCAGATTTCACTTTTGCTCTTCTACTTTTAATAAATGCAGGTACTGTACTATGAATAACCCCACACATGTCAATTGCAGACAATTCATCAGAACTTATAAGTGACTTTGAGCCAAAATTTATTTGTTGGCACCTTTTGATTTATCATTTATCACAGGATAAATACTGTTTCAGTAATTTTCTTGAGATTTTCAGTGTTTTTCTGCCAAGTAGTTTGTAGATCAATAATAATATTCAGCATCTGAAATAAGAGACAGCCATCTCATATTCTAGATTTAACATCCTAATTTTATCTTGCCTGCTCTGCTATATACTCTACATTTATTCCAGTGTTCTGCTTATTCTATGCGTTCCACGGCACGCTCCGGGAGAGGATTTATGAGTTGTATGTCTTGATCATTGCTATCGTTGTTATCGTCCTCTACTGCACGGTCGAGTATGGTGTGAATGAAAAAGGGAGAAAAACATTTAAATTGGTAAATATTGACTTTTTATTTAATGCTATAAGATTAAACCATATTATCACTAGTTAGTACTGATGTAGATGATGTACATTTCCTCCTTTTTTGTCGTCACTAATTCATAGTTTTGATAATTTTGTTTAATTACTTAATTACCAAAACTTAGAAACTGAAATATTAGTTTATATACATGAATTTGTAAGTCTTTTTTTTTTATTTCAAATATCCTCCCTTCCCACTTCTAAAAAATACATTTTCCTTCATAAAGTAGTCCTCCTTTCTGAGCATTAAGTATTAGAAAAAAAATAAAGATATTTCAGTTGATTTATACTTTGATGGTTTATTTTTAAATAACAGGTGCGTATGATACTGACATGTGTGTTGGCGCCTCCGAACATAGTCCTAGCATGGAGAGTAGCCAGTGACTTTGGTTACTTACAGTTTCGTATTGTTGGAGCCTCAGAATTCTTACAACGTCTGTATAAGTATTCACAAAACTTATATAAATGTCCAATTGATAAGATTCTTAAAAATTATTAAGTGAATATTGTTATATTGTTTGTTTTTCTTAGTAATTATAGTTAAATTATCACCTTGTATTTATTGTACAAATTATTCAAAATATGCGACATATTTAAGAGATTTTGACATAAAAAGTGTCAGTAAAAATCAAATGTATACTTTATGTAAATTTTTTTTGAAGGATGTTCATAAATAGTGAGAGAAGAATAACTTTTTGTCTTCTTATTCTAAAATGTGCTAAATCTGTCTCAGATATGCAAATTGTATAATGTAAACTTTGTTTTTCCTTTTTCAGATCTGTATGCCCAAGCATCAATATTTTCCTGTGCATTGAAATTTGATGTGCAAGTTACAGTAAGTACAATAGTACAATATATTAGAGGAAATTTTGCTTTGGCATTCTGTTTGAGTACATTGGTTATCAGAAAATAAGTCCATTTCAGGTAATAAGCCCATTAGATTCTATCACAATTTCAGAAGAAATAAGAAAAAAAAAACCAAAAAACCCAGTTATTTGTCTGTAATGAGCTGACCCCTTTACTTTGAGTCAGATGCTGTGTATGATTTATACTGAAGCAAGTACTGGAAGCTAGCACATACTTTATGGTATTGGTTTTATCAAAAGCTTAATACAGAAGGAACATATCTAATAAAGAAAGCATGAAATAGCACTACATCCTTAGTCTGTAGTCTGTCTGGTCGTAAATCAGTTCTAGCTATTACTTAAGACCTGCTGGATGGATCTTTCCGAAGGTTTCCCTTGGTCTCTAGTTGTACACTTGCAATTTTGGGACTGATCAGAAAAACAAAAATATTATCCTTATTTCTTGAAATTTGGGAGGGACTGTAAGTATTCAGATATCATTGTGATATCATTTGAGGTTGAAACAATTTGTACAATCGTTTTCTGTAAAAAAAAAAAATTAAAAATAGATTATTATTGACAAGGGAGGTCCCTTACTCCCTTTTATTTTGTTTACATATCAGTCTTTGTTTTACAGGTGAGTATGGTAGTACTTGTGTTGAGGAAAGGCACCAGTTTGAATGTTCTAGAACAGGTTGTACTTGGGGTTGGAATTCCATACTCAATTCTTTGGAATATCCTTGGTTCCCTTGTGGTGAGTATATAGCAGAGTTTTGTCTCTTCTGCCTATCCTGAATATAAATCAGTGTCTCTGATAGATAAGGAGGGGTTGCTTAGCATGGAGTTCATCAAGTCACTTTCTAGACAATAAACCATCAACACTGAGTCTTCAAGTACTTCAAATGAACCATCTGAAAAAATTATAATATTCAGCCAAGGTTGGCTGTGTGGTTTTGACAATGTTTTAATCTGGAATATGAAGGATTGACTTACAATGTCTGTGGAATCTTTTATAAGACTGACTCCCATTGTCAGTGAAAACTTGTGTCAGCCAAATCAATACGTTTCAAAAAAAAAAAAAAAAAAATAAGCTTGATATATTTAGGTTCGAAATTTGGGTATTTAACTGAAAACTCTAAGTTGTTCTTGTCAAGCTTTGCAAGTTGATATTCTCAGTAATCCAACATTATTATATCTTGTCCTCAGATTTGTAACATGATTGATGTAGTGACAAATCTTATAACTTTCATCACATGATTTCAATTTCTGTTTCAAATCATTCCAATATTCCTTAATTCTAGTTGAGGACAAAGGTAGCAGTTTACAACAAATGAGATTTTCTCTGTAATATAATTTTACACTATTATTACTGATTTGATATTTGATTGATGTCATGATGATTGTAGCTTAAGAAAGAATGGCGTTCAGGAGCATTTATCTTCGCTTTCCTTGGCCTGGCCAAGCCTGCCTACTATATCTACAAAGTGATTCAGGTAAGTATTGGAAATGTTGTATGTATATAATGACAGTTTTCTTATTTTGTCTCTTGTAACCATACTTATTTTTAACCAGGGGATGATAATCTCTTGATCAGAGGGAAATATTTCATCTGTCTGAGGATAATCTCTTGATCAGAGGGAGATATTTTATCTGTCTGAGGATGATAATCTCTTGATCAGAGGGAAATATTTCATCTGTCTGAGGATATCTTTATCTATCTGAGGATGATAATCTCTTGACCAGAGGGAGATATTTTATCTATCTTAGGATGATAATCTCTTGATAAGAGGGAGATATTTTATCTGTCTGAGGATGATAATCTCTTGATCAGAGGGAGATATTTTATCTGTCTGAGGATGATAATCTCTTGACCAGAGGGAGATATTTCATCTGTCTGAGGATGATAATCTCTTGATCAGAGGGAGATATTTTATCTGTCTGAGGATGATAATCTCTTGATCAGAGGGAGATATTTTATCTGTCTGAGGATGATAATCTCTTGATCAGAGGGAGATATTTTATCTGTCTGAGGATGATAATCTCTTGACCAGAGGGAGATATTTTATCTATCTTAGGATGATAATCTCTTGATCAGAGGGAGATATTTTATCTGTCTGAGGATGATAATCTCTTGATCAGAGGGAGATATTTTATCAGTATGAGGATGATAATCTCTTGATCAGAGGGAGATATTTCATCTATATGAGGATGATAATCTCTTGACCAGAGGGTGATATTTTATTTACTTATTGGCAACAGTTTTCTTACTGATGGTCAATTAACTGCTGATAATCTCTTTATATGTTCTCTGTGTTTAGTGATAGTGTCTGTTTCTTTACAGGAGTATGTGAATATAGATGATAACATAAGAGAGAGCCAATTCATTACCTACGCTGTACTTGTTGCAGGTCTGTGCTACATCATTATATATCTATATCAATGATATATCCTAAAAATATGAAATCTTATTCTCCAACATATAGTCCATATAGTGCATGGCACCATTGGTAATCTGATATATCTTCTAGAGACACATTTAATGAGGCTTTGTACTTCCTAATGGCTAAAATTAAAAGAAGTGATATTCTCCAGATGAATTCAGTAAAAATCTGTACAGTCTAATAGAATGCTTCATCTGGTTAAGATTTTTAAAAAGTCTTGAAAAGGTTCAGGTCGATTTTTCTCTACAAATTTTCACCTTATTATCAGAAGAATATGTAAATTTGTTACAGGTATACTGGCTTTACTAGTTTGGCTAATACTGATGATTGAACTGTATATTGTGTGCAAGAACTTTGGCAATGGACTTAAAGAGATTGGTAGGTACAATTTCTGTATAATAGTCAATATTAAAATGGCCCCACCTCCCCCACCAACCAAATGTATATATCAACTGTTATGGATTATTGGCATTGTGGGATTAACAGATGTCATAAGCTGGAAATCCTATTACCAAGATCACAGTACAAATAGGCTATTTTTCTGTAAGTGTGCTCTCTGGGTTTACAGTACTCTCAATTAAAATTGATATTTTCTAAAATTAAGTGGAACAAATATTGCACACTTTCTCTTCAGGAATTTGATTCTCTCCCAGAAAGTCTACACTTTCTTTGGGAGTTAAGGGTAGGGGAAGGTCCTTATATATCCAGTAATAAAACAAATGTCCAATGTTTTCAGCATTTGAAACGTCTACAGAATCTACCAGTTTAATCACGGGACGAAAACAGAGACACAGGAATCCAGCAATCTGATCCAAGAAAACAGCAACCCAAGATTCTGTTACTTCGATCACAGAAAACAGCAACATGCAAAGCAACCAATCCATTCAGAGGATGAGAATAGTGAAATTTGAATCCATTTTATAATTTTAAACCAACCAGGTGAATGTTGCTGTATTAATGATGGCTGATTGTGTGCTTACATTGATGTAACTGAAATGACAACTGTGATAATTGTCTGTGATAGCTTTGATGATGTCTGTGAAAAGTTCTAGCACACATGTGCTACAGGAAATGACAACTAGTTTGTACTCCATGTGTAGTACAGGAGGAGACTATAGGTTAGTGCTCTACTTGTCTTACAGGAGGAGACATAGAGGTTTGTACTCCACCTGTCTTACAAGAGGAGACTTAGAGGTTTGTACTCCACCTGTCTTACAGGAGGAGACTTCGAAGGTTGTTCTCTACCTGTCTTACAGGAGGAGACTACGAAGGTTGTTCTCAACCTGTCTTACAGGAGGAGACTTAGAGGTTTGTACTCCACCTGTCTTACAGGAGGAGACTTAAGAAGAAGTTTACAGGAGGAGACTACGAAGGTTGTTCTCAACCTGTCTTACAGGAGGAGACTTAGAGGTTTGTACTCCACCTGTCTTACAGGAGGAGACTTAAGAGGTTTGTACTCTACCTGTCTTACAGGAGGAGACTTAGAGGTTTGTACTCCACCTGTCTTACAGGAGGAGACTTAGAGGTTTGTACTCCACCTGTCTTACAGGAGGAGACTTAGAGGTTTGTACTCCACCTGTCTTACAGGAGGAGACTTAGAGGTTTGTACTCCACCTGTCTTATAGGAGGAGACTTAGAGGTTTGTACTCCACCTTTCTTACAGGAGGAGACTTCGAGGTTTGTACTGCACCTGTCTTACAGGAGGAAACTATATACAGAAAGAGTTTATAAATTTATGTTTGTACTGTCATTTTAATCCAGACTGCGTCCATGAATGGCCTCCATCATGACATAGCAATTACAAAGATGGAAAAAACAAACCAGGAAAAAATATTCAAAGTTCTAAGATGCTTCTTTTTTGCCAATATCACCTTTAGAAACAAAGCAGTTTGCTTGACAAGGGCATCACACCCAGCCCACACCAAAAGGCCCGAGTGTTCTTTATGTAAGGTTCGGTCTATTTGTATCCTCTTCAACCCATTGTGAATGAGTTGTTTTTCTGCTTTCAGGTCTGATTTTGATATGTATAGCTAACCTTGCTTCAGATTGTTTTTATGGTTATCATTTGACATTTAAATTTTATCTCATATTTATTGTATTTTAGCTCACGTGAGATGCAGAGGTTTTTATTTCATATTCCTTGCAATGAGGTTTTAAACTCTGTAAAAAATGACATTTTATAGAAAATTAATTAAATATATATTATTTAAACAATGTAGCATCATAGTCAGTGTGATACCATTATCAACCACGGCCATCATACTACCAGTATTTATACAGTGTGGCATCATAGTCAGTGTGATACTATTATCAACCACGGCCATTATACTACCAGTATTTATACAGTGTGGCATCATAGTCAGTGTGATACTATTATCAACCACGGCCATTATACTACCAGTATTTATACAGTGTGGCATCATAGTCAGTGTGATACCATTATCAACCACGGCCATTATACTACCAGTATTTATATAGTGTAGCATTATCTACCACGGCCATTGTACTATCAGTCTTTATACAGTATATCCAGTGTGAAATTTTCATCCTTAGATTGACTTAAAGAGTCAGATGAAATTTTCAGACTTGGAAATTCAATTTTTTTCCAGTGATTATATTTAATGCATTGATTCCTTCTTGATGTCTTTTTGAAATATTGATGGTGCTTAACTTGCATGTAATTGTTCAGTTCTTACTAGATTTCGTTTTGGAGTGCATTTAATTGAATTATCATATCATATTCGTATCCATCATACTGATATGTTTCAGGTGTCTAACTGGTGTATTTAACCTGCAATAAGCCTAGAAGCCAACACGTTAACTCTCACTCCAAGTCAGAGGGTGGGCTTATTACTGGTTCTCATGTAGCCAATACATTAACTCTCACTCCAAGTCAGGGGGTGGGCTTATTACTGGTTCTAATGTAGCCAACACATTAACTCTCACTCCAAGTCAGAGGGTGGGCTTATTACTGGTTCTCATGTAGCCTACACATTAACTCTCATTCCAAGTCAAAGGGTGGGCTTATTACTACTTCCCATGTAGCCAACACATTAACTCTCATTCCAAGCTAGAGGGTGGGCTTATTACAGGACCTCAGGATAACCAACATTAATTACCTCTGATTAAACAATAGGGGTTAGCTGTGTTACAAGACAATAAGTAACACTTGTAACAAAACAATATTTTACGGAACAATAGAAATATAGATGGGATCATTACCAGTCTTTTGGTTTATTGCAGGGTATATACAATACCAAATTGATGGAAGGAGCCATGGATAAGTGGTGATAATACATGTTGTGGCTTCATTTCATCATTAAATCAAATATACAGTACTTTCTTAAACTTTAACTTAAATTTATAATGATAGCATTGAGAATTAAAGAAATGTTGACAGAAACATGAAAAATTTTAATGTGTATAATGCTTCTGTGATACAGGTGAATCCTACAATGTAGTATCGCTCAGTTCTTAAAGGTTGCCATAATTTTATGATTCCTCAGTACAGGACTGTACACTATGTTGGAATTGTCTTGTATTTATGTAAATAAATTGATATTTTCATATAATTAAATATCTTGTCTTATTTCCCATACTTCAGAGAAGATGTATAGTTAATGTTTTACACACCAGAGTTGATTAACAACTTGACATTACATATCAAGGTCATATGGTAATAGTACTAGATGTCATGGTAGAGACATGTTAATAAATTTTGATGATACTTCACTACAGTCTTCCTGATCTCAAACTCTAGGTCTGACTCAAGTATCAAGGTCATTGGTAGAAGGTCAAGTTCACAGAAGGTAATTTTTGATCTGCTGTATTGTCTTGCCTGCAACACACTGATAAAAATTACCCAAATGATTGAAATGAGACTTCATGCAACCTTTTATCAGGTTCTAGGTCATGATTAAGTGAAAGTTTAAAGGTCACCTCAGACAGATGGTAATACTTGTCAGCAGCATCCTGAAAAAACTATCACTAATCAACAGATTTAAAAGACGACGTACACAACTATAGCTACAACAACGTTAAGATCCAAGTTATCTGTGTAGATGAAAGGTCAAGGTCATGACCTCCCAGGTCAAAGTTTAAGCCAACTCAGCTGAATGTTTATTCCTGATGTTCTTTAGATTCTTGTATTAAAGATCATGAATGAATCCAATACCACAAAATCAGATTGTTCACTGCAGTTTACCACATAGATTGTGGGGGAAATTAAGGCCTGATGCTAGGATAATCAACACTAAAAATAAATGACTTTATTCACATCAATTGTATCATACTTGTAAAGTCATTTCTGACAATGTAGTTATGAAAATGGTGTCTGTTATATGGGAATTTCACGATGCCCTTGTTATTATGTATTGTAGACAGAAACAAATTTCTCTTACCCTGGACTCTGCACTATTAGCAGTATGAGATTTCCTTGTCTTACCCTAGTTTACAGACAAGGCAAACTCCCAAACGCAAGCATTATACAAAATAAGATGGCTAGCATGGTATTAGAAAAATATTCACTGATTTCTTTAGCAGTAAGCTAGGGAATCTTGTTTAACCCACAGATGTTATTAAGTTGAAAACACTTTGGCATGCAAGTCTCCTGTGTGTGCCCAACCTCCACTGGACACCACAATTTGGATCCCATCTCAGCCACAAGGGGGTGAAATGAATTTTTTTATACATGTAACAAACAGGATCATATATCATAGAGCTTTATTATTATAATTATTATAATTATCAACAACTGTATAGTCTTCAACATACCTGAACAATGTAAACAGCATGTCATTTTGAGCTTAACTCAACTTGGTAAACTGATGTACACCACAATGTTAGATGAAACTTAAGAAAATGCCTAAAAGTAGTAAAAAAAACATTCAGTATCGACAAGCTTCATTGTTATGGATATGCCTTCCAAAAGCAGATTTGTTGCTAAAAAGTGCAACAAATTGTGAAAATTATTGTTATTTGCATTTAAATTGATAAATAATTGTGATTTAAGTATGATTATACCGCAAATTAAATTGTTAATCAAGGTTAGATGTTCAAAATGTAGCATAATTTACAAATTCATGGATTTCTGAAGATTTGCAAAAGCCGATGACATTCTGATATCGTAAAATTTTACACTCCTAGATCTCTAGGTTATAATCTGTTCGGTTGGAAACTTAATCATGTCAAATTATTTACTTAAATTGTGGTCAAATCAAATATTTTATTTTTGGAGATTTGACGGGCACCAGTTCACAATGACCATACATATATACTGTATAAATCACTTTGCACAAATGCAGCATTACTCCTGTGGTAACAGAGTAAAACTAGTCACTGGTGGACAATCCAAACCTCCAGAAAACTAACGATTACAAACCAAATCCCATTGGATAATCACAGTCAAATTACATTGCTTCATTAACTTTTAAATGCCTCTCCGAGCTTCAAACTTTTTCACTTCAGATGAACTGTCATTTCTTCCGATGTGATATTCCCTCCTGTCACAAACACCACCACTTTTTTTCCTGTTACATCAGGAATGCGTCCGTTAATCAAGGCAGCCATAGCAGCACACCCGGAGGGTTCTACGACCAAGCCTCGTTTGTAGAACATTGCCATGGTATCAATTAGTTCCTTGTCTGTTACTAAGACCACATCCTCTACAAATTTCCTACAATGTTGGTAGGTTAATTTGCCTGTTGAAAGAAGATTTTAACATAAAACATACTGCGATGTATGCAAAAAAAAGTTTCAAAGTTGATATTGAAAAGAAAATACTCCGTTACTTCATCTTTATTTGAAGTTAGATAGAAAGCTGGTAGGTCTCTAATGCAATACAAATTAACATGTTTTTCAAATGATATGCCAATCTGGAAAAAATATAGATACCAGTATGTCTGTACATGAATTATTCATACATTTTCCATTCTGGAAAATATTTAATATTTTTCTATTATTTACCGGTATTAGGAAGGAATATACATTAATTGATTAAGTTGTTTCTTTTTTTTTCTATCCTGACAATTGTTAATGTCTTAGAAAAGTTACCTGCAAAGGGTGGTGAAAGGCCTCCTGCTACAGAATTCACTGTAGGTATGGTGACTGCCTCCCCTTTCTTATAACTTTCATACATGGTAGGAGCTGTCAACACAAAGTGATAATGTCATTATGTTCTCGATATAGTACTTACATTTTAATCTCTTCATTGGTCTGTAAACTTAAAAATAACACACTTCTTTTCTGACAAAACATGGTCTGCAAACCAAAACATTTACATGTAATAACTTGCAGAGAATACTTGACAGGAAGAGAAACCAGTGAGTTTGGTCTCTATCCTCTGACTTCTACAATTTAGTGATTCCATAGAATACACTCTACATGTAGGAAGACCATAGAGTTTGACCTCTACCCTCTGACTTCTTAATTACAACCTATGTCTTTCTGGTTCTACAGCATACAATACAGACAAGAATATGAGAGAACTTGACCTCTACAAAAAAGTATATCCCTCTCGTACTACAGCATAAAAAAACACTCTACACCTAGGAAGAACTGATAACTTGACCTCTACCCCCTTACCTCTACATTATAGTGTAGTTTTACAGGTACATTCTACAATGAAAGAGATACACAGTTTTTACCTCTGACCTCTCAACCACTTCTAACTTACATCCCTCTGGTTCTACAGGGTACACTCTAAATACAGATAAGAAGACCAGACAGTTTGACCTTTAACCTTTAACATCTACATTATAATTGCATGTCTCTAGTTCTACAACTACTCTACAGTAAGGAAGAATAGATAGTTTGATCTCCACCCTGTGACCTCTACCCACTAATCTCTAAATTATAACTTGCATAGCTCTGGTTCTAAAGGGTATAATCAACAGTAAGGATGACCAGACACTATGACCTCTACCCTTTGACTTTTACACACTGATCTTTAAATTACACTTTACATCCCTCTGATTTTACAGTGTACACTCTCTACGTTTAGGAAAATTTGAATTTGTCCTCTATCCACGGACTTCTTCTTAATGATCTCTAAATTACAACTCACATCCCTCTGGCTCTACAGCGTACACTCTACAGTCAGTAAGACCAGACAGTTTAAAAGTTGCAGCGACACCAGACACAAGCCCTCCTCCTCCACAGCACACAATCACAACATCAGGTTTAACACCGTCCTCAAGGATCTCCAGGGATGCACTGTTAACAGTAAGCAAAACAATGGTCAGTTAACAAATTAGAGCAGATAACTGAATTAGTGTTATAAACAAAAGCAAACAAGCTGTTAGAGTAATGCTGATGAAGATAAAGGTGTTTGCATCTAGGCTAGCCATTTTCTACCATTGGAATCAAGATCTACAAATATTTAGTAAACAGCTAATACATTAGTGACCTTTCAGTGAACTTTGGATGTCTGGGCCTAGGTAGGTTACCAGAACACTAAATATTAAGAAGTTTAATTGTGTCCTTTTTATCATGCACAACAATTGTGTATACAATTGGTGCCTACTGGCTGAGTATCACATTCTTGTGCTTCATAGAACTTACAAACTCTTGGGTCCTTTACACCCTAATGTCAAGGTCACAACTAAGGGTCAATTCATGCTGCCTGGTGAGTTGTCATTTCTATGAGAATGGACTGCAATAGTTCCTGGCAATAAGTTCATGCCTTGTGATATGTCCATCCCCATTAAATGAAGTTTCAGTAGCAAACCAATCCCATTTAAATGACATGTAATAAGCCCACCTCCCTGCTTATCATGGTGGATGTGTTAGTCCCTGGACATATTGCATGGTAGAAACAGTATTTTACCAGAACAATGTACATGGGCCATGACCTTTAACATAACATTAACTCCTGACTTTCAGTACTGGGGCAGTGCTTTAAGTTCTGGACCTCTAATGTTACAATAACGCCTGAAATATACCTGTTTGGGGTCACAGTTGTGACATTAATTACTGGAGAAGTGCTATAACTTATATAATCAACCAACTTGAAATATATCAATATCACAACTTATCATATTAACCGTTGTGGTTAAATGCCTTTCATATATTATACAGGGCCTTAAATCTACACAGTTATGGTCCAACAGGACTGGAATACTTATTTACCTTCCATAGCCAGCAATCAATTCCAAATCATCAAATGGATGGAAAAAACGACTGCCATGTGTGTGTATGTGGAAACCAAGTCTTGCTTCTAGTTCAGAAGTTAGAACCACTTCAATATCACAGCCATAACTCTGAAGTATATAAATATCTAGTGCATGTACGATATCTTGTGAGTTCTTATTTTCTTTTTGTTAACTCCTACGTCCCATTATAACACCTACTAAGAGATGTAACAGGTTCTCAAAATGCAGACATTAATTTAAAAATGAAAAGCACGATTGCAGGACTGAAAAATCTGGGTCCAAAACAGACTGTTCTACTGAAAAAGCTACAAGTACAAAAAAGCACTTCAACATGCACATACTAGTATGCAATATAAAGTACAAATTCCCTGAGCAAAATGTCTCCTATAGTGTGTAGTACCCCTTCTTCTATCTGGTAAAGTATTCATGGCCAATCTACTGGGAAAAGTTGCACCATATCCACAGGGAAAAGTCTTCTAGCAATAAAAAGCACTATTTCAGCAGGGAAAAGTCTTCTAACAATAAAAAGCACTATTTCTGTGGGGAAAAGTCTTCTAGCAATAAAAAGCACCATTTCCACTGGGAAAAGTCTTCTAACAGCATAAAGCACTATTTCAGCAGGGAAAAGTCTTCTAGCAATAAAAAGCACCATTTCCACTGGGAGAAGTTTTCTAGCAATAAAAAGCACCATTTCCACTGGGAAAAGTCTTCTAACAATAAAAAGCACCATTTCCATTTGGAAAAGTTTTCCAGCAATGCAAAGCACCATTTATAATGGGAAAAATATTCTGGCTATACAAATCACCCCTTATACCCATTCTTTATAAAGTGCAGAAAAAAAAACCTGTCATAACTGAAATCAGCTTTGAAACATTTCATTGGTGAAAGTGAGCCAATGTCAGTATGTGCATACTATCAAAACTGTCATCCTATGCTAATAAATCTTAGTTATTTCCACTGGGAAATAAACGTTATCGTAAAAAAAGGCACATGGAAATTCACAATTTCTGTAAACCACCTTAATATGCTTCCATCTATACAGAGCATTTGATTCTACTATACCTGGGTATTGAGAAGAAGATTTTTGAAATCTGAGTCAATTTTTAGCCAAACCAATCTGCCCCTGGGGGTCAACCAGGATCAAATTTGGCATACCATCAAGCCATCATCCTTTGCTTAGAATTCTAAGCAGGTTTGAAATATTTCCAATGGAAATTACACAAATTACACTCAACAAGAGGCCTAGTGGCTATTACAGTCACCTGAGATAACCACCTTAAGACACTTCCATCCATGAAGAGCATTTGATTCTACCATATCTGGGTGTTGAGAAGAAGATTTTTGAAATCTGAGTAAATTTGACACTTTTGGCCCCACCCCTCAAGTCCACATGGGGTGGGGACAACATAATTCACCACTTTGTTTCATCTTAGGCCAAAGAAGGTTTCTGCAAAATTTCAATGAAATTGGTTCCAGAGATTTCGAGAAGTCTAAAATGATGATTTGTTTACGGATGCACGATGCTGGATAAAGGTGATCACAACAGGTAACCATGTGACCTAAAAAAAATGTTTTTGTACATAAAGCCTTAGCAGAAGCAAATGCAAAATATTTTGTCACTCATACCTGGTAAGAATTCTGGGAAGACATCTTATCTTAAAAAGTTAATTGTTCAAAATCAAATAATTTGTAAGTTAAATATATTTATTGACATTATGATAGATTTATTGCTTTGAAGATGGGCTTACAGAAGAAAGCCATTTTTAAAAGGCCTCAAAACCATTAGAATAGAAGTTCTTGTAACACAACCAGTAGAAGATTGGAGTGTTACGTTTTGATGACTACAAGGTAACTTCATCAGAAAAATGTCCAGTGTGGCATGTACTAGCACTGATGTACATAGTGAACAAAATTTTAAGGAATTGACCAACTTTTTCGGCTGTAATATAATCCTATGTACACTAAGGTCAAAAATAGTGCGACTAGATGGTAAACAGATTATAGTAAAAAAAAATATACACAAAATGATAACAATGTACTGTAGTCAATTCGGCCATACTTTGTTTAAAACTTGGTTAAAAATCACGAACACTACATACATCAGTGCTGGTATGCTTATCGAAACATCACATTCAAACCTTCTACTGGTTGTGTTATCAGAACTATATCTATTCTACTGACATTACCAACCTGAAAAAAATGTTCTGAAATACCTCAAAACCGTACTGCAGTGTCTTAAGAATTAAATAAACATCTTACCTCACACCATTTTATTTCAAAATTTGAAATCCTTAAAAATCACCTGTTGACCACATGCAAGTACATGATACTATTTTAGACAGCCAAACTTTGCCAATGGAGCTGGATTGGTGTTTACATTTGTTTTCAATCCAAACTGTGGACTCTTCCGCAAAGTTTTGTAAAATTGGAGTCTGATTGTTTTTGTGAAGAAGTTGAAAGTGTGAACTCCAGTAAGCCACAATTTTCATGTGCAATCTTAAAATGTTTTATGAACAGATTCTGCTCATCGACTAATTTTGCTTCGTCATGAGTGTAACACTGGCAGACTTATTCTGATTGGATTTCATCAGGAACAAGAAGCACTAACACATGGACAGGAAAATCATACATCTAAATCTGTCACCAAGTAATGGTTGTTAGATTCCGTAATAAAACTGATATTGCATTCTAAAAACCAAGTTGTCACAAAAAAAAGTTTTCTTAACACATTAAAAACTAAAATAAGTAAAGTAACATGTAATTGAGATTCCAACACTTGGTTACCATAGCAGCCAAAATGCTGATGTTCAATAACTAAAATGCTTAATTCATAAAAAGTAAATATTTAGCTTCAGCTGTATGTTTGGCTGATGTTTTCTGAAATATATTCATAGTACTTAAAATGCAATGTCAGTTTTAGTGGTTGGAGGTAAGAGGTCAAAGGTAAGTACCTGCCATAACCAGCAATAAGGTTGATTTCATCAAAGGAATGCAGGAAAGTAAAGTCTTTTTCTGCTACATATTTATCCACTGTTGACAATAAATCACTTGATGGGATCTGTTTCACCTCAACTCCAAAACTCTGGAATATAGGGAGGGCATCACTATATATATGAACAATTAAATCACAGGTGGGGAGATGTTCTACCTCTGTGACTTTGGAATAGAGGGAGGGGATCGCTATATATATAGACAATTAAAACACTGGTGGGGAGATGTTCTACCTCTGTAACCCTGGAATAGAGGGAGGGGATCACTACCACGACAGGTAAATCACAGGTGTGGAGATGTTCTACCACTGTAACCATGGAATATAGGGAGGGCATCACTATCATGACAGGTAAATCACAGGTGGGGAGATGTTCTACCTCTGTAACCATGGAATAGAGGGAGGGCATCACTATCACGACAGGTAAAACACAGGTGGGGAGATGTTCTACCTCTGTAACCCTGGAATAGAGGGAGGGGATCACTATCATGACAGGTAAATCACAGGTGGGGAGATAAAGGACAGGACCACTATCATGACAAGTAAATCACAGGTGGGGAGATGTTCTACCTCTGTCACCATGGAATAGATGGAGGGGTTAAAACACTGGTGGGGAGATGTTCTACCTCAACAGGTAGAATCACAGGGTAAATCACAGGTGGGGAGATGTTCTACCTCTGTAACCATGGAATAGAGGGAGGGGATCACTACCACGACAGGTAAATCACTGGAGGGGAGATGTTCTACCTCTGTAACCCTGGAATAGAAGGAGGGGATCATTATCATGACAGGTAAATCACAGGTGGGGAGATAAAGGACAGTATCACTATCATGACAAGTAAATCACAGGTGGGGGGATGTTCTACCTCTGTCACCATGGAATAGATGGAGGGGTCGCTACCACAACAGGTAAATCACAGGTGGGGAGATGTTCTACCTCTGTAACCCTGGAATAGAGGAAGGGGATTGCTATCACCACAGGTAAATCACTGGTGTGGAGATGTTCTACCTCTGTAACCATGGAACAGAGGGAGGGGATCATTATCACAACAGGTAAATCACAGGTAGGGAGATGTTCTACCTCTGTGACTTTGGAATAGCGGGAGGGCATCACTATATATATAGACAATTAAATCACTGGTGGGGAGATGTTCTACCTCTGTCACCCTGGAATACAGGGAGGGGATTGCTATCACCACAGGTAAATCACAGGTGTGGAGATGTTCTAAATCTGTAACTCTGGAATAGAAAGAGGGGATTTCTACCATGACAGGTAAATCACTGGAGGGGAGATGATCTACCTCTGTTACCCTGGAATAGAGGGAGGGGATCATTTGCAAGATGGTTAACTTGCATGGTTGTTATTATTACAAACTTATATATATATTTAGTATCAATTTAACATGCAGAGCAGAGCAGTCTAGCAATGTATACTGGCAAAGTCTGGAAGTCTTTAATTCTTTTCCCGATGTAGTTAAATAAAATGAAGCCCAACTGATGTTTCTTACCTTAATTATTGATCAGTTTACTTAATAATGTTCCTAGATACGTAATAAAACTACAAAAATAACAAGAAAGGGAAGTTTAGGGTGGGCATCTGTACTAGATGTGCAAAATGTTTCAAACAGAGCTTAAAATGCAAAGTTTAAAAGTGAAACAAAATATGAAAAAAGGTAATAAATGAATTCCACTTAAAGCTGTTCTTGTATCATGCTGAAAACATGTGACAGCCAACAACTTAGTTTCAGATACAGCTAGCCCACTCAGACTGGACATACCTAATTATCCTCAGGCTAACCTAAATGAGATCTTTATTAAAGGATGTCTATATACATGAGGTCTTTACTAAAGGATGTCTATATACACGAGGTCTTTACTAAAGGATGTCTATATACATGAGATCTTTACTAAAGGATGTCTATATACATGAGATCTTTACTAAAGGATGTCTATATACAGGAGATCTTTACTAAAGGATGTCTATATACATGAGATCTTTACTAAAGGATGTCTATATACATGAGATCTTTACTAAAGGATGTCTATATACATGAGGTCTTTACTAAAGGATGTCTATATACATGAGGTCTTTACTAAAGGATGTCTATATACATGAGATCTTTACTAAAGGATGTCTATATACATGAGATCTTTACTAAAGGATATCTATATACATGAGATCTTTACTAAAGGATGTCTATATACAAGAGGTCTTTACTAAAGGATATCTATATACATGAGATCTTTACTAAAGGATGTCTATATACACGAGGTCTTTACTAAAGGATGTCTATATACACGAGAGCTTTACTATAGGATGTCTATATACATGAGATCTTTACTAAAGGATGTCTATATACATGAGGTCTTTACTAAAGGATATCTATATACATGAGATCTTTACTAAAGGATGTCTATATACATGAGGTCTTTACTAAAGGATGTCTATATACATGAGGTCTTTACTAAAGGAGGTCAATATACAGGCAGATATTGAGACTATCTAGATACTTTCTTACAAATGGCTGATATGTATATTGTAAACAACCAGTCTTTTAAAGACAGTTATCTTATATAAGACAGATGGTGCTTATGAACCATTTCATAACATTACACATTTATTGCATGAAATATATTTTTTTTTATCTTATTCGATCAAGCTATTACCACAATAATGATTAAAATATCACACCTAAAACTATCCATTTATGTTACAACTATTTAACACTAATTAATCTTCCATAAAATTCTTTTGAAATGGGAAATAATATCACGCTTTATCTACTTGATATTATAATATCATTCTTAGCAATTGTCAGTGTTTAAGATAGTCAGGAGGCATATTACCTTGATAAGCTGGACTCGACTTGAAGGTGCTGTTAAAGGCATCAAACAGAGTCCAGAAAGATTCAACTTATTTAGGGCATAAGCAAATGCCTTCCCATAATTCCCTGCAGATATTGTGATTAGTTTTTTCTCTCTCCTCTTAACATCATCTGGTATAATTGCCATCTGACTAGCTACACCACGGATCTTAAAAGAACCTGTAATTAAGGCAATGAAGGTAAACTTGTAGACATACAATGGCATTATAACTATTCAATCTCCAGTTTTTTTCAGTAAATTTGATTACCTCCAAAGAGAAAACTTTTGTTCAATGAGAGATCTGGAAGGTGTTTTAAAATAAAATGAATTATTTTCAGCATATTTTTGTATTTCTAGGATGAAAATAGGATCAATCTGATTAAAATCTAGATCTTAATTTACCACTCCAGGGCTTTCTGTCTTTAATGAAAGGAAAGTATTTGAGTGGTAAATTAAAATCTGTATTTTAATCAGATCGAAAATAAGATAAAATTCACCTGAGGATGCTTTGAATTCAAGTAAATTTCAATCTGTGTTTCAGGTACTGAATTTTCTAAAGATTTTTATTAACACCCACAAAGGACAGCCAGTATGAGGCATTTGTGTTACTAATTAGTTGAATTCCACATATCTCTGAGAAAGAAGGCTAAATAGGCAAGTACAGTTTACCAGTTGTCTGCATGTTTTCCAGTTTGAGGTACACTTCAGCATTCTCTAGGCCTGGGAACATGTTTGTATTCTTTATCAATGGTGTTTTGCATACACCAAGCGAGCTATTGGCCAACACCTCTCTAGCCTTTCGGACATCTTCCAGTGTGATCAGACCTTGTTCAGATGGCATGGTCAAGCTGTAAGGTCACTTTGTCAGGACATCAAAAACGGCAGAAATCTGCAAAACATTGAAACAACAATACCTTCATCAGTGAAGCAAACATTTATACATTTTATAATGTAGGACAGGAAATCAGAAATCTGGAAATGTAGGAGAGCAAATTAGGCAACTTTAAATGTAGAACAGCAAATCAGACTTCTTCCAATATAGAACAGCAAATTAGGCATCTTTCAATGTAGGACAGCAAATCAGACATCTTACCATGCAGGACAGAAAATCAGACATCTTTGAATGTAGACAGCACATAAGACAATTTCCAATGTAGGGCAGAAAATGTCAAACATAGAGTAAGGTAGCAGACAACAAATTAATATGAGGCATAAGACACTGGAATGATTTGATATAGGATATCAAATAGGACATCACAGTAAAATATCAAAACTAACATTGGACATCAAAACAGACCTAATCAAATCTCACAAAGCCAATGGACATAAAATGTACAAGTGTGTCAAATAAAAGATGGCGCTTAAAAATACCCCTGCAATAGTTACATAACAAAGTAGACTAGACTTGCAGCCCTCACAACATATTAGGCCCAGACTAGCAACATTCTTCAATAGTTACATAACAAGGTAGACTAGACTTGCAGCCCTCACAACATATTAGGCCCAGACTAGCAACATTCTTCAATAGTGACATAACAAGGTAGACTAGACTTGCAGCCCTCATAACATATTAGACCCAGACTAACAACATTCTTCAATAGTGACATAACAAGGTAGACTAGACTTGCAGCCCTCATAACATATTAGACCCAGACTAGCAACATTCTTCAATAGCGACATAACAAGGTAGACTAGACTTGCAGCCCTCATAACATATTAGACCCAGACTAGCAACATTCTTCAATAGTGACATAAACAAAGTAGACTAGACTTGCAGCCCTCACAACATATTAGACCCAGACTAGCAACATTCAATAGTGACATAACAAGGTAGACTAGACTTGCAGCCCTCATAACATATTAGACCCAGACTAGCAACATTCTTCAACAGTTACATAACAAAGTAGGCTAGATTTTCAGCCCACACAACTTATTAGGCCCAGACTAACACTATTCTTCAATAGTTACGTAACAAATTAGACTAGACTAGACAGACTCCCTCAGGACCTATTGGGCTGTCAGCTGGACACAGGTACTTGAAGACCTGTGCAATTTCAAGAGTACAAACAATGACTCACATATTTCCCAAGTTTTTTTTTTTTCTTTTGAGGAAGCTAAATGTTTGTGAGTCACAGTTATATTTGCACTTTTGAAATTATCTGGCCCCAGTTCTTGAAAGTGTGGTAATTCATTTCCCAAAAAATCAAACAAAATTGAGAGCATTCTTTATCACTTCACGACTGTGTGTGTGTGATAATTTGGCCTTTTACTATATTTAATTGGAATAAAATCACCTGACTCATTTCCACAAGAAGACCTACCTGTGGTCTGAGACGTATATATATATATGTGATATATACGTCACTGCTGTGGTCAAGAATAATATGTAGGTCAATTATGTTATCTCCTTCCTCTTTGTTGAAATATTGGAAATGACAATGTTTGTAAATATTTTCCCTGAAGCAACAAAAATTGTAGCCATCTTTATTTACATAAGATGATGTGCAACTATGCAACAGGGAAATAAGAGTATGTTTACTTACCTATTCCTTACTTGCTGTTTGGGCCAAGCAATCTGTTGCAATCATAGAAGGGGACATAACTCGTACTTTCATATTCTATTAATGACAAAATTATAACAAAAAATATGTTAATTCCATTAAAAAGCGTGATTAGAAATATATCAATTTACTTTATATTACCATGTAGAATATTTCAAACGTGACTACGTTTTAACAAATATCAATATATATATATATATCGTCTGGTATTATTACGGATATTTATCCGTCCAACGATTTTAATTTTGCCCGATCACCACTCGGAATGTCTTTGGACTATACTTTCCTGTCCTGTAAACACGTTAGGACGAGAAACGAGGCGTACACAGGAATTTGTGTTTTCAGTACATGAGTTGGAGACGATTTTTCTTCCATCCCTGGCCCTACGCCACCTTGATAAGTGAGTATCATTTTAACTTATGACGTATACCAATTCTTTGTACTTTATTAATACTGTCATCGCATGTGTTTTTATTTTGAAGAAAGACTTTGGTGTAATTCAGCAAACAAGGTCGTCCTTGACCGAGAAAAACAACAGTAACCTGTTGGTGTCAAATAAATCAACACATTGTATATTGTCCATCGGCTTACTGACAAAATTATGTGTATTGTAGTAATGTACTTTATAAAACAATACTCCTTTTTTTTTTAAATAAACGCAAATTGTCGGTAAATGTTATTGACAAATTTGCTGAAATATCTCCTGTTTTAAGTACATCCATAATTTCAAGAAAGTTAAATATTTACATACTGTAGTTATACAACTTACTGTATCCTGTTTCAATAACTTTTACGAGATTTAATATATGATATTTACATTGTTTATTGTACATACAACCCATGCCCCATCTAACTAACACACACAGTGGATTAATTTCTGTGATGTTTTGTATTAGCAACAACTTGTAACATTTACATTGTAAAGCCAAGTTTCGCCAGGCTCTTACATATACACTAGACGTTAGATATGTTATAGAAAGGAGTAATGAAAAGCATACCTAGCCCTCACTGGGGTTTGAACTAGGGACTGTTTGGTCTTTAGCTGGACATCACAACATTTGCTAACGAGGATTTCCTATTATCAAAGCTTACATGTGTAATAGGAGCAGGAAATGCACAGATAGATTAGGATTCATACCTTGAATTCAAGTAGGATCTGCTGACAATCGACCCAGGTAGTTTAGTTCTGCGTTTCTCCTCCTTTCTCAATGCTTTACCCCTGAAGAAACAACTATTTACAATCTAAGTTGAAATATCCCCTTGTAAAGCATTCAACTACTTTAAACATTTTCGGGTTGGTCAAAAGCAACGAATCTAATAGGAACAGAAAAACGTGTGGCCATACCGAGTTTCCAAACTCTGGAAGGATGTTGTACCAATGTAGCTACCTGGTCACTGAAAATTTACAGAGTCCAGTTTCACTACACAGTGCAGTAAAGCAGCCCATATTCAAAACTACTCACTAGTCTCTCCTTCACAAAGTTTTAAACCTCAAAGACATCCACAATCCACTTTCGACATATCCATGAAAGCATTTCATTTGCTAGCTTCTGCGTATATTCATAGGATGGTGAGCAGTACCAAAGCTGTAATAGGAAGGAGTAATGAAAAAAGCCTTACCCTGCTAGGGTTTTAACTATTTGTAGCAGAAATACCTAACCACTGTGACAAGTTTTCTTTTCTTTAATAGCTAGCTATAATATATTGGCTTTCATCCAAACCCTCAGTTAAGACTTCTAGTACTCTGATGTTCAAATTTCGATAAGACATATAGTATGGCCTTGTCTGTCTCCTATAAATTTTTATTTTGAGTGGGTATAGTGATCTGTCACAGGTCTTTACCATGAAGCTTGGTAGGCTTGTTGATCACCATGACATGGAGGCATATTTTCTGAACAACACTTTGATTCAATTGTTTTTGGTACAGTAAGTAACTGGCTCTTGTTTACTTCATAACCTTAATCTTTTCTGGAGACCTCCCTCTGTTTTTAACAACTTCCATGGGCTGATGGCTTCCTGAGTGACATTATGATTAAACTTTTTTTTAACAAGTTTTTTCCCTTGCCATTTTTATCCCAATTTTGTCTGGAGATTTCCTGTATTTTTCTTAAGTAGTGACAGTTAACAGGACACTACTATAGCAGTTAGTTTAAAAAAGTAACCCCATAAGTATAAAGATTGATTTAATCTGTAAGAAAGTTTAAATCTGAGTATACACAATCAAGTTGTTGTTTGGAACACAAAACAAAAGAATGATTGGTGGTTGGAAGAAGTTATCCGTAAGATCATTAAAAGTACAAAAAACAAAACAACAGGTCACTTAGTGACAGAAAAGTCATATTAACAAAGTCATTGACAGGTAGAAGACACCAAATGGTGCCACCTCCCTTCAGATGAATGACAAAAATTTACTCTGCCCCAGCTTAACAGTGGTTTGAAGTTACACTCAATACCATTCAGACATTATCAAGACTTTTATTTACATTTGTAAACACCATAATATATCTCTTTACCATCCTTTAAGATAAATTTGTGACCAACTTATCTTTAAATGATATTTATGCCGTCAGGTTGAGTGTTCTCATATTGTGCCATGTCTTTCATGTCATCTGATATTTAAATATTAAAGGGTGTTGGCCATGTGCAAAAAAGACTTGAGTTTAGACATAATACATATATTTTCTGTTCAATTTCATGCTTATTTTGTCATTGTTAGTCACATGTATTAGGATGATCCTTGTAGAGGCATATATTTGAAAAGAATAACAGTGTAGCATAATATATACTACTTTAAATCTTGATATGCTTGATAATCACAAATTGTAAATATTTTCTTCTGTGGCAATTTGACACATTGAGTTTTGAAAGAGTTAATGCCCTTTTAATCTTTTCAACTTTTTTTCTGTACCCGTTAATCACCATCGGTTTTCAACTGATTTCTTTCAAACTTTGTAGGCTTAATTATAAAGAAATTGTGCTTTTTCAGTGGCATTTAGATTTGATCTTTAATGTATTATTTCCATGTTGATTTTGGTGGGATCTTACATTTCTCTCTGACACAGGGTGATCCTAAAGTGTATGTTGTACTGCCTTATCGTATATGTGTTTATTTGGATGTTATCTTAACGTTTCTCTCTGACAGTGGGTGACCTCAACTAAGTATTAATTTCGGTGTGATCTTATGTTTTTGTCTGACATAGTGTACACTGTATTTTGTTCTGCCCTGTGAAGAGTACTCTTGGTAACTACATGTGTATATATCCCACGTGTAACTATATTTGTTCACACATATCTTGCATGTAGAATGATTTATATATCAACACTAAAATATTAGGGCATTTGAAATAAATTGCTGAAAATGACGAAAAATTAGATGAGAGTCTAAATGAAATGAAGAATAGGTACAAAAATTCAGTTAAAAAGAAAACCACATCAATTTTATTTTCTAATAGTGTTAACTTTCGGAAACGGGTATTTTATACAAGGAATTACTGGTACACATTATGACATTTGGTTTCCAGAAATTACCCTAAAATTTGTAGTAATTTTTCTTTGAGTTTATGTTCATTTGCCTTGTTTCAATGTTATTTTCAGCTCATACTTATGTACAATATATCATTTGTATTATGTGTACACAGATACCTTTGGTCTATAATAAGTCTATACCTCACACTTTGAGTAAAGGTTACTTGTGGAAGCCAACGGGGCTTACTTATTGTAAAATAGACTTCAGTGTATTTTAGACTTTGTATGGCAGATGATTAGCACACCTGTGAACAAGATGTTTACTTTATTATGAGATGAAACTAGGTCTACAGACTGTTTTAATGGATGCTAGGTGCTACTTTTGCAAATAGCACCATATGTAACTCTCTGTGGTATCAAAACAAGACAGGTATACATTTAGCTACCACAGATGAATATTACAAACACTTGCACTGTATGAGATTGCTCTTATCACAGTCCAGGTTGTAGTGTGAATCAGATTCACAAGTCAATGTGATCATATACTGTTTATAACTGAATAAATTGTTATGATAATGTAACCTTTGTTTTTATTTTCATAGCACAAAAAGTGTATATATGTAAATAAGAAAAAATTCCTTTAGCATCTAAAAGGGTCAGGGTGTCCTATATATAGCCATCATGTTTTGTTTATCATTGTGTTGAATTTTTTGGGGTTGATCCGACATCCAATATGGCCACAATCTTGATAAACTTTGTGACTCCACTGGTGCCATTCCGCTGAAATTTTGTGGGAAGGTAATTGAAATGAGAAGTGTTTGTTTGGCTTTACTGCTAAAATCATTTGATATCTTTTTCTCCTAATGCTGTTGTACTGTATGAGATTGCTCTATATAGTTAGATGTTAAGACCCATGTGCCTCATGTAAGTATAGTAAGCTCGTCAACTGATTAAGTGTTAAAATTTCACCTCAAATATATCATAAGGTAATATAGTTATTTCATTTAAATGACAGAACTACATTAAGCTTTGGTCTTATTTTTCAAATACTCTGTACATATAAATAATGGCGATTTGTAACAAGGATATAATGATTATGTCTGTATAAGTTAGTATACAGACAATACATAAATTATGTATTTGCATCCTGTTTTTCTCCTTCAACAAACTTTTCCATTCTCCTTTGTTCACAAGGAGGTCTATAGGCTCTTTAAATTTAAATAGCACTACCTAATCTATGGTTATATAAATACCGTTAGCAACATTAAACCTCTCAGGAGCAACAGAAATAAAGTAAGCAAGTAATGGTCTGTGGTCAGCCATCTGCAGAGTAAACACATTAATTTTCTGTCATTTCACAGATATTATATTTCATTCACCAAAAAAATATATAATTGATTCATACATGTATTTATTTTATGGTATCAAAATATTGTTTTATTGACTGTAAAAGATATGTGTGTAAATGATTTTTGGGACTGAAATAATTAAAAATTTGGCTTTTCAATGATTTTAGGGACTCCTATATACGTATATATGTATTTGAGACCCGGACACATGCTTTTGCTGTAGGACTTGCTCAAATTTTGTAATCTCGCTATATCTCTTTGTAACTGGACTCATCAAAATATGGAAATGGTGCACTGATCTATACTCATCAGAAAAATTTCCAACAAAAATTGTAAACGCATCATACACTTTTTTTTTTCTGTCGAATGAATCAGGCAAGAAAATGATAAAAATAAAATGTACAGATTAAGAAACGTATGTAATCACTTGTCACTCTGTAGTAACTGAAATGAATATAAGGGAGACTTTTTTTCTTACTTTAGGAAGAAAATTAACCTGTTTGGGAAGGCCAAGAATAAGTTGGAAGTTTTAAGAATCATATGCATGAAATACCAGATATAAGATTTTTATGCCTCATTAATCAATCCCATAAAAGTCCATAGGAAAAGGCTTTAAACAGGATCATTCATTTTTAGTTGTATATTTATTCAAATGTATTTGCAATATATTATAGAACCAATTGTAATATCTATATAAATATATGAATACCCTAACTTATTGATTGGTTTACAATTAATGTACACATGTACAGGGGTCTATTGATGGGTGCTGATAAACCAATTCAGCATCACTTAAAATGGAACATTTCAGGCATAAATGGGAATGGACTTGCAAATATTAATACAAGCCTTTAAAGGCTCAACTGAATCTTGCCAGAAAATCAAATAAGATCAGATCAGCCGTTATTTCATAAACATGTTCCAATTTGTCAGGCTGATAAATGGAAACAGATTAGTATGAAATATAGATAGAAATAAGATAAAACACGATTATATTAAGAAATTTGTCCTAAATTGTACTGTACAACCTCACACTAGGTTATCTGTTGTCAACATGTACTGTATATCATTGACCTGGTATAGCTGGCTGTGATTATGTTCAGCAACTTCCTGGTCTAGATGTGTGTAATGTAGAGCTCACACTCTGTCAGCCCTCAATAGCTTTAAACCTCCCCAATACAGGGCTGGATTCCAGGTCATGTACAAGTGCCTTTTTAGTGTATAAACCAAATGACGTCAAGTAATAAATAACTCTTTTTCATTGTCGAGCAGCCATTGTTATATATTCATCTTCAAATCCTGAAACTTTCAAGTCTTTTTAAAGAAACTATTTTTGCACAGTTAGTGTTTGATTCGCCCTTAAATACACTAAATCTACAGGCATTTTTAGTGATTCGGTTCTGCATTGTCAGCTTAAAATTAACCTGGAATGTACTCTAAAATGAATAGTCACTGCCTAAAGTTTGATCAAGAAGGTACACATTTATATATAGGTATGTTATTTTGAACTGCCCTTTTTATGCCTTCACTCAAGTTGAGTGGGATAAAACTTTCCAATGTGATAAAATTTAAACAACCCTTTTTAAATATTATATGCATGCATTGTATTGAGCAAATATCACAAGTACATAAAAAAAATAAAGTTGTAATTTTCATTCCATAATTGGGACCCTTCAACCTGATCGAGCCTTAAATCAGAAATCAGGTAAACAGGAAATCAGGTAAACAGGAAACCAGGTGTGCTTTTATCGTGATTGTTTAACGACTATGTGCATTTCAAACCATTAATCTCTGTGTTTGTAAAATCCATTTGAATTCTTTAAGACTTTTCATGTACATTTGTATTTTTATTTTCATATGCAACCTTGAAATGATATTTTATTGTCAATTTTTTTTATTTACTGCCTAACAAAGTTGGCAGGGGATATTCAGATAGGTTCAACCCATCCCTCTGTCTGTCCGTCCTTTTGTCAATCTGTATGCTGCTTTCCGCATGATATATTTGGAGAATGGTCAGATTTGGATGAAACTTGGTTGGTACACTTGATGCCTTAATCCCTTACCCATGTTCAGTTAATGGCGAATTCTGCACATATTTAAAGAGGCTGCTGTGACCTCATTGACTGATTTCTTTAATTACTTTTTAGGAAATCTTTCTGCACAGTATCTTAAGAAGGAATGATAAGATTTTTAGGAAACTTTCTTATTACCTTATTTCCTTGTTCAGGTTCAATTATTGGACAATTCTATGCATATTTTACGAGGCTGCTGTGATCTGATTGGTTGATATCTTTTGGAACACTTAACTAAATACTTTCCGCACATTATCTTTTGAAGGAACAAATTAATTACGAGATTTACTAGGTAGACTTGTTACCTTAACCCCATTTTCTGGTGTGATTATCGGCAAATTCTGCGCATATTTGATGAGGCTACTGTGACCTGATTGGCTGAAATCTTTAACCACCCTTATTGAATGGTTTCCACGTGTTATATTTTGAAGGAACAAATGAATTTTGATGAAACTTGCTTGCTCATTCAAGTTCCATCAACCATGAATTCCATGCATATGTAATAATAGTATTCTTACCTGATTGGCCGAATTCTTCAAACAGTTTCGTGGATTGCTTTCCACACTTCTTTCAAAGGAATGATAAAGTTTTTTATGACACTTGCTTAGCAGACATGGCACCCTATTCACATATATAACCACTCTCTTGTTTGATTATCAGCTAATTTAACAAATATCTAATGAGGCAACTGTGACCTGGATGGCTATTTGCTTCTTCTGGAGTAATAATAAGAGACTTTTAGAAGACTTTAAACATATCTCTTACCAATTCGGAAATTTAGATGCCACACAATCATGGAAGAAGGATAAGTAAAATAATGATAAGAAACAGAACAATAACAATAGGTCTACTCATCAGTTGGTAAAACGCTTTCATAAACCTATGATAGTGAATCTCCAAAATGTTTTTAGAATTCTAATGTTTGAAGTAATGTTGCACTATCACCGATTATGTTTTATTTTCCTGCAATTTTACATATCTGACTATTAGATGCTGTATTGTATTTTATTAAAGTGTATAAACCATTTAACTGTTTTGTCATTCTTGAGCGGTTATAGAATACTTTATTGATCCAGCATCACTGAAATTAAGTGACAAATATTCTATCATTACCATTTGGTAAAAGAAGGGAATATAAAGGTATGATCAGCTGATTTTAATATTCACAGTGTTATGCTACTATATTGTTATTATATTGATCTTTTCAACGGAACTTTAAACTGAACATAAACAATAAATGGTTTCCATACTTAAGTTTTCCATGTTTCTCACTTCAAATATATATATTTTACAAATAAACAAGGACGGTAGATCTCAAAGTCTATGTCCTTGTTTTATTTTTAATCAAAGAGTTTTAAGTTCTCATTTTTCTCTGCATTAAAACTTAAAAGTGACCAGCCGTTCAAGACAATCATTTATATAGTTAGTTGACACTGTTTATTTTTTAACTTTGATATAAGCTTAAACATAAACCTACCATTTAATTTTGCCCAATTGGTAAATATTGGTAATTTTTTCCAAACACAGATGTATTCATTTGCTTCAGTTTTCTACCTATTGTTATCTAAATGCATTGCTTATAAAAGATCTTTTTGATGTATGAAATAGGCTTCTGACTAATAGTAAACTATTGACAAGAGGTAACAAGTCAGTCGACCTACTTGTTAACACCGATCGGGTTATCGGGTGGCTATATCTATTACGTCAGTCACAAAAACATAGGGAGTGGCAGCGCCTTGTGAATTACAGGTACCTTAGCGTCATATCAGTAGCAAAATAAAATGGTAAGAAATTGTCCAATGTCCTTAAATGTACCATATATACTGGATATTACAAACAGAAAAATGCAGTTGACACACATTATGTCATTGTATCAAACTTATTCATCTACAAAATTATTTTTACAGCATGGCATTTATGAAAATTATACAGGGGACCACTAGATACAAAACTGGTGTAAAATAACTATTTACGCATGCATATCTAATCGTCCACATTTTCTCATCAGCTCTTTGGTTTGAGATAAGCAATCAGTTATAATTTTGAAATTAAAAATTTGAATATATAAATTAACAAACATGTATTTCACTTCAGTATTTTCGTTAAAATAGAGTTTGTTATTAGATCCCAACAGCAATGAAGGTTCCTTTAACAAGGCTCTTTTGTCATGACCGTCTGCAATATCCTAGTAGATAAACTTTGTATATACTTTGTAGATTCATGTAGGCTACCATTGTTGTAACATGCAATATATAGGGACAGAGCAACCAACATTTCTGAACCAATATTTCTCACCATTTATCTCGTGACTTTAAGTGTTAAATAAGCTACATGTACACCATATGTTTACATTCAAACTGTCAGTGTTTATTAATATTACAAAGTGTGTACTGTCATTATCCAACAAAACAAACAAAAAACAGGTCAGAAATTAATTTTCATGTTCATGGGAGGTATATCCTGGTGTACCGTGTGAATGCAGTCACGATATTGCGAGAAACAAGCTCACAAATTCATAACAGTTCATCGATTACATTTCAAGCGGGAGTAAGCTGGGCAGGGTATGTGGTATGACTGTAGTCAAACATGCTCTGTTATAGGTTCTGATTGATGACTCATTCTTATCAACACCAATCAATGTTTAATACTTACCATATAGCTACTCATGCCATCTGTTTGTAAGGCAGTGATTATATACAATATATATATACAATCCTTATTTCGAAATTACTTAATTAATTTAAAACCCACAAGACACCAATGTATTGCTTTATAAAACCCTATATATAGATCTAGTTGTTTTCGGGAACTGTGTATCTTTGATCACTGGGTATAATCCATAGAGCCCTCACCGTACCACTGGAACTTACAACCTGTCATCATACATGCTATGTAAAGTTTGTATGTTTTCATGGGTATATATATTAGCATGCATTTGACTATCGCTAATTTCAATGTTTATCCTGTATTTGGTTACAAATCTGTCTTTTTCAGTCGTATGACCTGGCTGAGATATGATGGTAATATAACGATATCACATGTGCTTATGTAACATTTACCCTGTATTTACCTGTAATTACAGAACTGTCACCTGTCATCATGTAAGCCTTGATATGAAGCTTAGCGATGGGTGCCATCCCCAATGACATCCACCAAGCCATCAAAATACTCAAGACCGATCCAGATCGGGTACTCTGGTCCTACACAAGGCGCATCAGCCTCACCAAAACCAGCAGTGGAAAACTAGGCATCAAGGTCGACATTATCCAGGTACAGGTCAAGGTCATCAACCTCAGCATAGTTTAAGCAATTTATCTTATAATAAAATGTAATAATTTTCAGTAAATTGGATGATGTTATTTTGTACAGTCAAATATTCATATATTGGTTGTCACAGTATTTCTCCCATTGATACACAACACACATAACTACTTCTTCACTTGTTCTGAAAAATGGATTTGAAAAAAAAAAAATAAAAGAAAATAAAAACAATTGTTTTGGGAAATCTATGTCTATTTTTTGTCCATAAAGAAAGTTATAATACAATATTTTCATTGAGCTGAAACCATGTGTTGACAGGGTAACAACGAGACTTTTTCAATAGTGACTAAGGTTAAACCAGAATGCTGTCTCGGTCAGGGTGATGTCCTGCAGCTGCTTGACCGTATCTTGTGTATCAATCGTCAGGACGTTACCTCACTTACCCCAACACAACTGTGGGGACTCTTGTCAAGTCTGTCCACCACCATCACAGAGGTCATCGTCTGTTCTCTAGTCAGCATCAGCAACAAAAGAAGTCGGGACCAGGTGTCCAACAGTAGTTGTCGGTCCTGTACAGGTATGCGTAAGGGTTCTGATAGTAAACGTCGCCCTGTCGAGTCAGAGCCTCTCTTACAGGGACTGGAGGGGCATCAGTCACAAGACAGCCGACCATTCCATGACAGCACTGGTCTTGGGTCAGGTACATGCGAGGAAAATCGGACTACATCCCTTCCAACAGTAGATAGCAGGACACAAGCTATTACTGACATCAATGGTCGTACATGCAGCTCTCTCCCTCCAACCATGAGTAACCATCTGTTGGTGAGACCAAGCACCAATGCTAATGACTTGCTACGGTTCCCACACTTCATTCATTGGGATCCCATCACAAAGACAGTGTCTCTCACACGTGGAGCTAGAGGCTCCTTTGGCTTCAAACTCAAAGTCAAAATGTCAAAGGTAAGCAAAAGGTTGTGGTCAGTATTGATATATAATCAGACTACTCCTAAAACTGTACTGTATCCGCAGGATGTAAATGCAATCTTACTCGGAATTTCATTAATTTTCTGTTAGGTCCAGAACAAATGTTATCACTCAATATGAACTTTACTTCTGATGAATAAGTTTAGAATAAGCTGTACAATAAGTTTAGAATAAGCTGTACAATATATCTGTACTTGTTTAACCTTACTTATGTTTGTAATTTAAGAACGCTGATGACCTGTACACTCTGGTGGAGTGTATCACGCCAGATGGACCCGCAGATGGTAAGCTCATGGTTGGTGACTGGATTCGCTCTGTCAATGGGCAGCCCCTCCAGAGCCCAAGGGAGGTAAGTCATAACCTTATGTTTTTGATCACCATGACCACTGATCCTTCAAGAGCCCCTTAGGCTAAGTTATTCCTGCCATAGCCCTAAGGACATAAATCATAAAATTTATGCTGGAAGTCAAGCTTCTGTCCTTAAATGGTGACAGAACTGACACTGATATTGTAAGGACCACCATCTGACACTACATTAGGAAACTTGGCATTTGATTGAGCCTTGATTTAAAAGTGTTTATCTGTCCATAGGCCAGCAGTATACCGGACCTCTTGGCTAAGGAGACTACGGTACGAATAGTTCTACAACGTCCTGAAGGTCTGTCCCAGAATATATTTCCTCCAACCCCGTCCTTGCCAGACCCAGATGTACATTATCCATCAGTCCCTGGTCTTCCTCTGGCCTCTGAACCACCCAAGATGCCGGCATATCAACGCCTGCCATCTCACAACTCAGGAAAGGCACGCCCTGTCTTGTGTGATCCAGTACTACGTGGTGGCAAAAGCTACCGTGTGACACCACTGTCTGAGAGTAACGATCCACAGGACCCACAGGATATTAATGTTGACCTGTTTGAATTAAACAGAACAATTAATCTGCCCAAAGTACGTGTGTTTCTGTGTGGTAGTGAAGCTCGAGCCCTCGCTCGACTGTTAATGCCAGGCATGGTGTCTTCTGATGGTAACAATGGCTTGTATCAATGTATTAAGTGCACCATGGGAATGGACCGAGAGGGCGCCATAAGTTTTACATCCTGGTCTTCATTTGATTATCTTCTTAACGATGAGCCATCTTCAAGGTTACATGCCAGCAATGAATCTCTAACAAAAAGTGACATATTTAGAGACCGAGATGACGCAAGTTCCTTCATCCATAAAGGCTCCATCAACGTAGAGTTCTTTATAATGCCTGATGATAGATTTAGCCCAGACGACAAATTTTTCCATCATTGTTGTCAGTATTTATTCACAAGGACAAGCATATTTGTGTTGACATTCGATGGGGCAAAAGTTGTGACATCTACGCATACAGAGATTCAGCGTCTACAAAATGTGATTCATACTATAAGGTGTTTTGATGGTTATGAATGCCCAATTCTGACCTATGGATTATTGAACAATGATGCCTCTGTGGGCGTAGATGAAGTACGCACACTTTTTTATCTGCCATTCGGCCAGCAGATTCAGAAGTACAATGTGCCCATGCCAGAACTGTTTTGCCCTGGAGTTGAGGGTGCCAAGACTAGCGATGCAAGTCGTCGACTTCAGCGTGGACTTTGGAAGGTTCTTGGTGAGATGACACTCAAGCAGAAGATATCGTTGCCATCTGTGGCAATGATGCTTCAATTTGAGTCAGTGAGGACTGGCAAACAGAAACTGTTCATTGACGAGGTAGAATTCTCAATCATGTTTCAGGACGAGGTACCAGGAGGAGGTCAGGACCTCCAGCAGATAGTCTGGACGGACTTAAAAAATGTTGGCGAAATTCTCTCTTCAAGTAAGATATAATTCAATCTAACTATACATTCATTAAGTGTAAACCTGCTTTCATTCACATCTACATAATTACAGTGTCATAAATACAGGTGATTAACTTTAAATAAATTTTAAACCTCATTGTAAATTCAAAGTACAGTCTTCCTTTAAACACACAAGGAAACCCCATTTCTGATTGCTAAATTAATTCAGTCTCGAGTGTCTGTTTCAGTAGCAATGCAAAGATGAATCACAATGAAATCAGCTGTGAGTTTACTTAGCACTCTATGTAACTGTACGTTCTGAACAGATAGATTCAGGATAATCTGCTGTTGAAGTATGTAGTAATTATACCCCCAGCTTACATAAGGAAGGGATTATTATAACTTCCCTGTGTTTATGATTATACATCCGTGAACACATGCACAGATTTAATTTATACTCGTCCCACCAAGGTCTCTCTACACCTTATTATTTTGACTGTTTAAAGGCAAAGGTCACCCTTGACCACAAATTTAGATCAGAAGTAGAAATGCAGGACTGGGAGGTATCGTGAATCCCTGCTAACTTTGTTTTTTTTTTAGCTCACCTGCCCCAAAGGGCCATGAGCTATTGGCATACCGTGGTGTCCGTCATCTGTCTGTCAACTTTTTCTACAGCTCGCTACTAGTCATGATCAACGAAGCAGATTTTGACTATGATTATTTAAAGAAGGATTCTTTGGGGAAGGGGAACAAATTTTATATAAACCCTTTTACTTGGGGTCCTATGGGGTGAGAGTGGTGGGGTTCAATAGGGGAAAAAGAGCAAACACTGAAAATCCTACTCCAGTAGGAATGATGTATTTTGCCCAAATGTGGTCTGAAGCATTCTTGGTTTAAAGGGAATCAATTTTGTATAAATGATGGGTCTCAGCCCCATGGGGCAGGAAGGGCAGAGCCCAGTAGGGGATTAGAGGAAAGTCTTTAAAATCTTACTCCAGTAGGAATGATGGATTTTGCTTAAATTGTGGTCTGAAGCATTCTTGGATGAAGGGGAATTGGGTTTGTATGTACAGTTTGTCCCGGCCCCATGGGGCAGGAGGTGCAGGGCTCAATATTGGAAATGTGGCAATTCCTTTAAAATCCTACGTAACCTGTAAGAATGATTTAGTCTGAAGTATGAATAGTTTGACTGATGCCTGGAAAGGGACAGAGAATTGGGATATTTAGATTTTCCTTTCCTTAATCTTATGAAGCATTTCAGCAAAGCAAATCCAGATAAGCGATACATATGGGCCTCTTGTTTGTTTATCAATCATGCTATGGAAATAATTGGTGTATATTATCCTTGTTCTAATCCATGAATATTGATTAAAGGATTTTAATTCAGTTGCAAAATTCAATTAAGTGAATCGCACATGAGAGACGATTAGATTATGATATTGCTGATAATGAGTTGTATGATGGATAACATAGGGTACAGACGTTATAAATTTAGTAGTATTATAAATGTGGGTTGGGATGGCCAGTCATTACGAGATGTTGTAGTTTCAGATTTATAACAACAACAGATGTAGGGTGGCCTGAAGTCTGAAAATAATTATGAATTCCCCAGATTATGTTAATTACCAGGTGAATATGTCGGTTATCATCAACCTAATCCAAGTGATCCATAGCACTATATTGTGGTCAGGGTAACTGCTACACTTTAAAAATATACATATAACTAGGAAATTTGTTCCACTTTAATATTAACAAGCTATAGGTACAATATATAGTTCAACTAGACCTAACAGTATATATTAGTTACAGATAATCTTTATGTTTTTCATCTTATAATGTTTTAGAAAAATTGTTTGAGAAAAGAACTGCCATCAAATAGTGATGATATACATGTAGGAGATATTTTGATGTTGACAATTGTTTCCATGGTTTCAGAGGCGGCGCCATTGACTTTACCCCATGTTCTACACCTTGATAAGTTTTTGTTCATTGATCCCAAAGTTCTTCTGGACTGTGTGCAGAATGTCAATGTCTTTCTGCAACAGCTCAAAGGAGTGCAATCTTTGGAGGGGGCTCGCCAGAAAGGGGTTCGGGGGCTCAGCACTGGCCTCATAACAGGAGAAGACCTCACAGATATCATCTCACAGCAGTGTCACAGCCACTCGGTTGAAAAAATCACGCATCTCCTGGAAATATTTGGACTTATATTCCGTCAAAAATCATTTGGGGCTGAATCAGGAGGAGTGAATTACCTAGTGCCATATGTGATTACGGACCAGAGCACACTAGCACCTCCTACAACAGAACCAACAGAACTGTGTTTATATGTAGACTTTCGCATGCATACATCAAGTTTGGTGTTTTACCAGCTGGCCTTTGCTATCAACAACAGCAGTGATATTCACAACCTTGCCATGATAGGTCCATCTTCCTGTTGTCTGTCACACCTTGGATACGACATCACCCTTCACCATCACAAGCTTCGTGATCGAATACAGATCAACCTTGCTAGGTAGGTACCCTAGCAAAGATTAATAGATTACTATGGTCTTCTCTGATGGTAAGGAGATCTCTACCCAAGTGTAGGAGTTTGGCTGGTCAGCATGAGGCTTGGCCATCCAAAACCCAAACTCTTATTTAAGGGTTGAGATATTACTGTCAACAGAACAGACCTTTGTTTTATTGTCTTTCCCACATACAGTTTGAACAAAAATGACAAAATTTTAATACAATTTGAACAAAAATTACAAAATTTTAATACACCAGAAGTTGTTGTCATACACTTTCTATACTACATCATCCTCAAACATGTTTTGGTTTGCAGGTCAGAAACAGCTTCCAAGCCTTATGTATTGTACCAGTGGTTGCTTAAAGTATGTAAGGCTACACTGGGGTCAGAGGTCAAGTATGTGTTAGGTCCATCTTGTCCACTGCAGGACAGATGTCTTTTCATCAACCAGCACCATTCAGACATGCATGTGCTTGACCTGAGTAAACGACAGATATGCTGCAGCGAGAAGCTTGACAATCATCGCAAGATCAAAATATGGCTACCGAACATGGTCAGTATCCATTGAGAAATAAATCTGTGTTTAGTGTCATATTTTAGTTCAACTTTTCTGTTGTCCTGAAAATGGTCAATGAAGATTAAGATGTTATAATAGCATTAATAAAACTACAGTAAAGTATTTGAATGTTTTGAATGTTTTACAGTCAAACCTCGTTATCTTAAAGTTGGTACAACCATTTGAAGACTTCGAGTTATCCAAGTATTCAATCTAAGCAAAGTTTGAATGATTAGTGTGAAGTATGGCTGAGACTAACAAAATACTTTAAAGTATATCAGGTCTTAAAGTTATAAGATGTGAGATAATGAGGTTCAACCCTAAACTGATGATGGATTCTTTGAAGAGGAAAGATAGCTTCCTAAATCAAACTGAATCAAAATATACAGTTATGTTGGAAATATAACAATCTGTTGTGTAACCTGTTACAGATGGCAAAGTATATGAACGAGTTACCTCATATGATACTGAGGACGATCAGCCAGAAGCTGCACCTGGAAACTACCTTTGGTAATGACTGGAAGCTCCTTGGAGGTATGCATGTCTTCTGATGGTTATTTAGTTATTTTAACAGGATTATGGCGAGTTTTGGATATAGTTCAGTATTTTATGGTATCACTCTGGTGATACGATACAACACTGAGGAATGCTACACCAATATATTATTTAGGTCACAGTTACCCATATTTACTACTTCACCGACTTCATCTAACTTTTGTGCAATTAATGTTTTTGGGGTAAGATTTATAAATCAGTTTTTATTTCCAATTATTTCCAGTATGGATAATACTGATTATGTTGTGTTATGAATTAAAAATAAATCTCACTGGTCTTTGTTACAGGATTACTGGGTCTCACTGGAGATAAAATCGCCCTTTATGACACACACAAGGAGCCAGCCTACCAGCTACTTATGGACCTAGGTCGAAGTCATCGCCTCACTCTGGCCCAATTACTCGAACTCCTTCAGCATCCAGACATGGAACGCCATGACATTACTAGTGTGATAGAAGACTGGCTGGATAGCAACCCACAGACACCTTGAGGCTAAACTTCTATTACTGTAGTGCAGGAATTCTGGATAGATTTGAACCTTACTTTTCACATTGTACAATAATCAGCTTTTGACAGAATTAGAACTCTCACAAACTAGTGAAGGAATACTGAATACTTAGGACCATAAATATAACATCTAAAATGAAGTACATGTTTGTTTTTTTGTGATTGAAGTATTGAAATCCTTATGTAGAATCAGTGGAAATATGTAACTTTATTTCAGAGGTCATATGAGTATATTAAAATGAATTGTACAGAAGCTACGTGCACAGCCCTGGCTCATCTGTGTCACATTGGTGTTTATGTTTGTGTTATTCTTTTTTAAAATGTTGGTGCAAATTCATTCTTAAAATATTCAGTTATTGTATGAGAAGGTTGATATTTGGCCTTTAAGATTCTTCAAGGGAAGTCAATTTTACAGGATATTTTCTTGTGAATCCTCAGCACTATTTCCAAAATTTTGATGAGTCCAATTGCAAAGAGATATAGTGGGTTCTCAAAATTTTCGTCAAGTTTCTGTGTATTGTCAGATAATGTGTTAAAATTTCACAAATTTTAATTGCAACTAACTTAGTTTGTTTCTGAAGACAGCCTGCTATATGTAAATTAGATATATACATGTAATACATTGTGTAAGTATTATATGTACCCAATATATATTAACACATTGTGTGACAGTTCTTTCTTTGAGGAATAAAGTGCAAATCATACTACCGGTAATACATTTATTTCTTGTGGTGCATTTGTCAGTAAAAGCATTAAGATTGTGTGATATATAGTTATATTTACACACACACTCACGCACACCCACCCACACATATACATATGTAAGTATATATGTATACTTATGTATATATGTATAATTATTATGTATAGTATATGTACAGTATTTACACTGAGATATATACATGTTAAACTTAAATCTTTCCTGTGTATTATAGAACAAAATTTGATAGTTTTACGTTGTATATATAAATAAATATGATAATATATTCCTACACATTGTGTAAATGTGACAGTATTTGAAATATATAGGTATAATGTTCTCCAAGAATTGTGATTCAGTGATTAACAGTTTTTGTTCCTATTGTTTGATGAATTAGAATTTAAGAAGCTGAGAATTGGAAAAAATGTGAGATTTCAGGAATTTTTAAGGTGGCCTATTGCAGGAAATTAGGATTCATAATAAAACATTAAAACACTTACCAGGGGCCAAAATGTTAGTGAACTTCAACACAAGCAAATCATTTCAGTTTAAGAAACATGACTTCTGATAAAGTGTTGTGATGTCCTACACTGAAGTGTATTATAGAGGTCAACAATACATGACCTCTGATACAATGTTGTCAAGTCTTACACTGTAGTGTATTGTAGAGGTCACCAGTACATGACCTCTGATACAGTGTTGTCAGATCTTACACTGAGGTTTATTGTAGAGGTCACCAGAACATGACCTCTGATACAGTGTTGTCAAGTCTTACACTGTAGTGTATTGTAGAGGTCACCAGTACATGACCTCTGATACAGTGTTGTCAGATCTTACACTGAGGTTTATTGTAGAGGTCACCAGTACATAACCTCTGATACAGTGTTGTCAAGTCTTACACTGTAGTGTATTGTAGAGGTCACCAGAACATGACCTCTGATACAGTGTTGTCAAGTCTTACACTGTAGTGTATTGTAGAGGTCACCAGTACATGACCTCTGATACAGTGTTGTCAGATCTTACACTGAGGTTTATTGTAGAGGTCACCAGTACATAACCTCTGATACAGTGTTGTCAAGTCTTACACTGTAGTGTATTGTAGAGGTCACCAGTACATGACCTCTGATACAGTGTTGTCAGATCTTACACTGTAGTGTATTGTAGAGGTCACCAGTACATGACCTCTGATACAGTGTTGTCAGATCTTACACTGAGGTTTATTGTAGAGGTCACCAGTACATAACCTCTGATACAGTGTTGTCAAGTCTTACACTGTAGTGTATTGTAGAGGTCACCAGTACATGACCTCTGATACAATGTTGTCAAGTCTTGCACTGTAGTGAATTGTAGAGGTCACCAGAACATGACCTCTGATACAGTGTTGTCAAGTCTTGCACTGTATTGTATTGTAGAGGTCACCAGTACATGACCTCTGATACAGTGTTGTGATCTCATATACAGAGTGTATTGAAGAGATCACCCATACATGACTCCTAATACAGTGTTATCAGGTTTTGTACTGTATTGTATTGTAGAGGTCATCAGACCACAACCTCTGATACAGTGTTGTGATGTCCTACACTGAAATGTATTTCTAGAGGTCACCAGTAGATGACTTTTCTAATGCAATGGCAGAGATGAAGACAATAATTGTAGTCCCATTGTTAGGAGATAACCAGATGTGATATAGTGGGTTATCTCCCTTCAGTGACAATGCCAGTGGCTGGACATACGATTGGGTTAGGTGAATTGTATTGAAGTTACATATTGTATAGTGAACAGATGCATGTTTAACATGAATTGTTATCTGAAATTATAAATATGGTAGAATTAGATTTTGTATTTGTTGTTTATTTCCCATCAGAGAGTTTAATAGTCACTTGAACAATCCACATAGATTAACCATCTTATGTAGTTATCTTTGTACCTTTGAGGATGAGTATAAAGGGCTCTATGAACTGTCTCAACATGTTATTTCTGTTGGTAGTATTACCAGCCTACAAGGCACTGCTGTAGTGATTATAACCAGGTAGCGCCAAAGTGAGTATAACCAGGTGTCCCTGTACTGATTATAACCAGGTGTCCCTCTAGTGATTATAACCAGGTATCACTGTAGTAATTATAACCAGGTACCGCAATAGTGATTATAACCAGGTACCACCATAGTGATTATAAACAGGTGTCCCTCTAGTGATTACAACCAGATATCACATTAGTGATTATAACCAGGTTCCGTCATAGTGATTATAACCAGGTACGGCCATAGTGATTTTAACTAGGTACCGCCGTAGCGATTATAACCAGGTACCGCCATAGTGATTATAACCAGGTACCGCCATAGTGATTATAACCAGGTACCACTGTAGTGATTATAACCAGGTACTGCCATAGTGATTATAACCAGGTACCGCCATAGTGATTATAACTAGGTATCTCAGTAGTGATTATAACCAGGTACGGCCATAGTGATTATAACCTGGTACCACTGTAGTGATTATAACCAGGTACTGCCATAGTGATTATAACTAGGTACCGCCATAGTGATTATAACTAGGTATCTCAGTAGTGATTATAACCAGGTACGGCCATAGTGATTATAACTAGGTACCACCATAGTGATTATAACCAGGTACCGCCATAGTGATTATAACTAGGTACTGCCATAGTGATTATAACTAGGTACCACCATAGTGATTATAACTAGGTACCACCATAGTGATTATAACCAGGTACCGCCATAGTTATTATAACCAGGAACCGCCATAGTGATTATAACCAGGTACCGCAATAGTGATTAACCAGGTATCACAGTAGTGATTATAACCAGGTACTGCCACAGTGATTATAACTAGGTACCACCATAGTGATTATAACCAGGTACCGCCATAGTTATTATAACCAGGAACCGCCATAGTGATTACAACCAGATATCACATTAGTGATTATAACCAGGTTCCGTCATAGTGATTATAACCAGGTACGGCCATAGTGATTTTAACTAGGTACCGCCGTAGCGATTATAACCAGGTACCGCCATAGTGATTATAACCAGGTACCGCCATAGTGATTATAACCAGGTACCACTGTAGTGATTATAACCAGGTACTGCCATAGTGATTATAACCAGGTACCGCCATAGTGATTATAACTAGGTATCTCAGTAGTGATTATAACCAGGTACGGCCATAGTGATTATAACCTGGTACCACTGTAGTGATTATAACCAGGTACTGCCATAGTGATTATAACTAGGTACCGCCATAGTGATTATAACTAGGTATCTCAGTAGTGATTATAACCAGGTACGGCCATAGTGATTATAACTAGGTACCACCATAGTGATTATAACCAGGTACCGCCATAGTGATTATAACTAGGTACTGCCATAGTGATTATAACTAGGTACCACCATAGTGATTATAACTAGGTACCACCATAGTGATTATAACCAGGTACCGCCATAGTTATTATAACCAGGAACCGCCATAGTGATTATAACCAGGTACCGCAATAGTGATTAACCAGGTATCACAGTAGTGATTATAACCAGGTACTGCCACAGTGATTATAACTAGGTACCACCATAGTGATTATAACCAGGTACCGCCATAGTTATTATAACCAGGAACCGCCATAGTGATTATAACCAGGTACCGCAATAGTGATTAACCAGGTATCACAGTAGTGATTATAACCAGGTACTGCCATAGTGATTATAACCAGGTACCGCCATAGTGATTATAACCAGGGTCCGCCATAGTGATTATAACCAAGGTCCGCCATAGTGATTATAACCAGGTATCACTGTAGTGATTATAACCAGGTACTGCCACAGTGATTACAACCAGGTATCTCAGTAGTGATTATAACCAGGTACTGCCATAGTGATTATAACCAGGTACTGCCATAGTGATTATAACCAGGTACTGCCATAGTGATTATAACCAGGTATCACTGCAGTGATTATAACCAGGTATTACTGTAAAGCAAAACTTGATAAAGACAGAAAACGTGATTCTGTAAGAAACCCATTCCAGTAAAGATTCAGGTTCAGAAGTTCTATGAAAGTCACGCCTAGTAAAGACCAGTATGTCCTAGCTCTTTTGTGATCATACCAGAGTCTAGCAGTCTTACCACTACAAAGTAATTCCTGTGAAATTACAACTGGTGTACCCCAGGGCTCAATACTTGGGCCACTGATGTTTTTAATTGATGTCAATGACATGCCTCTTCATTCTAAACATTGGGAATTTTACATGTATGCTGATGATTCAACATTGCAGAAAACTGACAAATGTACTACGGTTATTGAAACATGTTTGCGCACTGACTTTGTAAATTTGAAAAAAATGGTGTAAAACAAACAAAATGGTTATAAATAAAGACAAAACCAAAGTTATGCTTGTAGGCAGTAAACAGAAAAAACAAAAAAATGCAAAGGAATTATGTATTGAATGTACTGATTCTGGTGATCTTACATTGGAAAATGTTAAACATGAAAAACTCCTAGGTGTGTGTATTTTATGATACCCTTACTTGGAACAAACATGTCCAGGATTTCATCAAAAAGGTCAATTTCAAAATATATCAGTTATACAGAATTAAAAAGTTCTTACCTGTTTCATCAAGAATCACCTATTTTAACTGTTTCATTCTACCTTACCTAGATTATTGTTCAAATATTTGGGGACATTGTTCTCAGACATATATTAAAAAACTAGAGATATTACAGAAAAGAGTTTTACGTATAATTATGGATGCTGACTACTCTGTATCAGGGGATGAACTATTCACTAAACTCAAATGGTTACCTTTTAGCAAAAGAGTGAACTACAATGAATGTATACTAATGTGTAAAGTAGCTAACAAACTGTGTCCAAACTACTTGGACTGTAATGTGCTTATGTCCAGTGTACACAGTAGACAAACTAGGGCATCTACTGCTGGTAACTATATCATACCTAAACACAAAACTGAAAAGATTAGAAATTCCTTCCTATAAACTAGACCAACTTTGTGGAATCAGCTTCCAGAAAATATCAGACAATGTGGAACCTTACCAACTTTTAAATTTCATTGTGAAAAATTCATCTCCAATTTACCACCCTAGATTCACATTTTTATGCCAGTCTTATTTTAGCCCCAAGATAATATGGTACCTTTATGAATGTTGCTAATTAATTGTTTTAATTACCAGTCCTGTATCCCCTACATAACCTCGCTAATTTAGTCCTTTTATTATATTATTAGTCGCTCTATAACCGTTTTATATACCTCTTCACTATGTGCCTTTATCATTACATTTGTTTTATTGATGTACTTCTTAGTCCTTCATGATTATGCTAGTTTACTGTGATATTTGTGATTTTTATATCATATGTGATGCTGTAATCTTAATGTTGTATATATTGTACATTTTACTGTCGACCACTTGTTAGAAGAGTCTTGTACTCAAAGTGTTATCGACTCTTAAATAAAGTCATTTATTATTATAATTCAAATTCTTTGGCCGAGATTGATTCATTCGTGAAGCATTAAGGAACGACAACTATGGTAGGGATTGGCAGAGATCCTGTCAGTCGTTCGTAGTGGAGAGACTTTAAAACTTTAACTGAACGTCATTGACAACAGGCATTCCGTCACGGTAATGTTGACACACGTATAACAGTATATTATAGCCTTACAGTTTTAAGACTTCGAAAAGCGTTGTTTTTCATTTCGTCAAAACATCAAATCACGTCATGACGCGATCAAAATATAGCTGATGACGTCACAATAGATTATGTATCTACGTATGACGTCATAATTGACATCCTGAATATCAACAAACACACGCACGATTTTTCAAAGACTTCAATAATGGGCTGTTTCGCCTTCCTGAAATGTCTGAAACGTCGTAGGAAACCAAAAATTAATCCTTACATGACCGAAGAAGAAATGGAAGGTATACCACCTCAAGTACCTTGTGGCAAGAAGTACTATCGACTGAGACTTGCTCCACCGCCACGTGGACTGAAGATCTTATTCACCTTCCCCATTTGCACTAGAGACGTGAGAGGCACTTGCTGGATCAGGGACAATGACCCAATCTACCAATGTCCACCACCGCCACCTTCAAGTCCTATTCCGATTAAAGCTGACCCTGAGCAGCCAACTCTTCCGTCACCAGCTGAAGCCGATTCTTCTTCAAACGAAGCAACCGCATGCTCCGCCCTGGACATTCGACTCATCTACTTGTACATTGTCTGCCTTGAAGCTCAATTTCTCTGTCTATCTCTCACTGTCTAACATGGAAATATTTGCTGAACAAAATGACGAAAACGAAATGATTAATTTCCAAACAATATTGTTATAGACAGCCAGTTTGTAAGCAACAAATGGTTAACTGACAAAGACGAGATAGAGGAATGTTTCTAGAGCGAGCATCCTATGTGCAATAAGTTGGTTGCCTTCCATTTAAGGAGACGAGCCAGAGCCAGGAACAATGCCATTGGTATTCGGTTGAAATGGACAGAGAATATTTACTTACGTGTGAATTTGAATTTTAATGTAAGATATACTTATTTAATAAATCTTATTTACGTAAAATATATTTTATCGTTTTTTATTCTTATTTTGTGTATTTCTAAACGACTTACCAACTGACACGGAATCAAACAAACTCTGTATTTCAGTATAGAATTATAGATTTTGCAATCGCCTTTCTTTCGTCCGTCTTTCTGTCCGTGAAAAAACTCCGGTGTTTTCGGAGGTATATTTTTGAAATGTTCAAGTTGTAGGGGTACTTCTGTACGTACGGGAATTTCTGTAGGTGCGGGTATATCTGTAGGTATCG